GAGAGAGAGAGAGAGAGAGAGAGAGAGAGAGAGAGAGAGAGAGAGAGACAGCGTTATGGTGCATCCGTCTAAGTATACCAGCTTGAAAAATAGTCCGCGTCGGGCGTAGGTCCGTCCGTCCGCCAGTCGCGAATGTTAATCGAACGTAGGTGGTAGTATAATCGAGCACGCTTCCTTCATGTATTATTCAGCCAATCGCCGTGCCGTTGCATCAAAACGGTTTGATCGATTGGGGCTTCCCGGCAAACATTTGCGGTCAATAGGGAGCGCGGCTTTGCAGCCCGGCGGCATTCTATACTTGGCGCGATTTTCGCACGGACACGTACGAAAGACGCGGTCTCTTTGAGCGCGATTAATTGACGTTTCATTGAGTTAAACATTTACATTATCGAGTTAAACATTTACATGCGATATATCGGTCGCGCTTTCTGTCCGTGCTTTCAGCTCTCCCGGCGAAAGCGAGACGGAGGGAATTATGCATATTTCTATTTAATTACATGTATACGTGTATGCGATAGACGCGAGTACGATACGTGCGTGACTGATCAGCAAAATTCCCACAATCTCAGAACAGAACGAGTTCCCGGAATGCTCGGCAATAATACCGCGTGTGCTGACGGATTAAAAGTTAATTAGTCAATTGAACGATATTCTCCCCCAGAGAGAAGCGTGAGGCTGTCAATTAAAACTTTCCCTATTAGCCAGATAGTAATTCGTGCTAATAGTCGCGCGTCCGCGATCCCGCGTGACAAAAACTCGAGTCACTTTGTACTTTTCGTCGCGTCGCATCACTCGTCTTCCGCCTCGTTCCTTCCGACCCGCCAGCCTAACGAGGATCCGCGTTATTCCAGTGGCGCGAAACCAAGTGAGAAAGGGATGCGGCATAAAGAACACAAAGTTATGAACGACTGAGATCTTTGAGGAACAGTGAAGGGGAGAAAGAGAGAGAGAGAGAGAGAGAGAGAGGGAGGGAGAGAGGGAGAGAGAGAGAAAGACAGAGAAAAATGTTTATTACACCTTAGGGCTTTCCCTCTAAGGACGAGAAATAAATATGTACATAAGGTTGGTAGGATTATTACAGAGAAATTATATACAATAAATACTAAAGAGAGGAAGAAATTTTTGAAGTAGTAATTTATAAAATGACATGAGGGAAAGTGACATTAATAATTATAAGCAATAAGCTGGAGATGCAACGGATAAAAAAATGAAGTAGAACTGACGTGATACTCTCCTAAATTTTTTGTAGTGGAATATCACTCAAAACGAAATTTGGTAATCTTTTCAATCAAAGCGATAGGGAATCAAAACATTCGCGAGAGTGAATGTTTCACTCAAGCTTGAAGTGGATTCTGACTCCATATTAATGAATGTTTCAATCAATTGGAATAAATATGTTCTTGTAACAGAGTGGAATACATCAGATTCTCTTTTTAATTTCGAGTAAAAAGCTCTTCACTCGACGATTCAAAACGAAGAATTCACTCTATATGAGTGAAAAGTCACTATATGAGTAAAACGAAGAATTCACTCAATGAAAAGTCACTCGAATTCGAATGACTTAATGACACTTGACGAATGACACTTTACTTTTCAAGTAAAATTTCATCCCAAAAGTTTACAGAGTCATTTCTCTAAATTTCTTGGTGTGGAATCGTTTAAAACGAGTAAAAAATAATAATGTTTTCACTCGAAACGATTGTGAAGATACTGACTTGAAATCGTAAGAGTGGGTGCTTCGTACAATTTTAAAAATGAATTTTGATCTCATGCAATCGAATATTTCAATCAATAGATTGAACATATTTATATAATATATAAATTAGAGTGAATATATTACTGTAAAAATGAGGTACATTATATTTAGTTTTCAATTTCGACATTTTCACTCGACCATTCAAAATGGAGAATTAATTTTATATAATCGAAAGATTACTTGAGAATTCGAATGACTCCGTAGTCACTCTACTTTACAAATGAAATCTCATTCCAAGAAATATGGAGAGTACATTCTAAATTTCTTGGACTGAAATTTCTCTCAAAACGAGTGAAAAATAACAGTGTTTTCACTTAAAGCGATTGTGAAAATACTATTCGAAATCGTAAAAGTAGATGTTCCATTCAAGCTTACAGTGAATTCTAATGTTTTAATGTTAATTTCCAATCGAATGTTTCAATCAATTAAAGTGAATATGTTCTTGTAACAATGAAGTACATCAAACTCAATCTTCAATCCCGAGTGAATATTTGTACTAGACGATTCAGAGCGAAGGATTCACTCGACATAAGTGAAAAATATCACTCGGATTCGAGTGATTTTCTGAAACACCACTTTCCCACTTTTCCAATTGAGATTTCACTCCAAGAAGTTTAAAGAGTACAGTGAAGGTTTTGGAAATAAGTTTTCTGTGATCACTGGCGCATTCTCATTGAAGTGCGGACAAGAGATGTTCATATAAATCCCTAAGAACGAGACGAAGGGAAGCAGAATTGCGCGAATAAGAGGTGGAATAGAGTTGCAAAGGGGAGCATTGTGATAGAAAAATGAGCGCTTGAAAGTCATAAAGGGAGACAAGCTCGTTCTTGACAGCTCCGACAGAACGGGGGCGAGAGGTCCATCAGGGGCCCCGGACGACGTTCCTCTACCCCACACCTGTACTCCGTTTCTCCCGTCTTCGCTGAAATTGATGTCCCGTGTATATTTCCGCGCAGGCACGCCGACAATTACGGTCGAGGGCAGCGGTCTCGACATGGACAGCATCTCCGTGGTATCCTCCGTAGCACCACCCCACATATACCAATGTAAGTGTCCAAGTGCATACATCACTGATCGTCGTCACCTCCTTTGTCACTCTCGCTCTCCATCCTCCCCTCGTCGTCGCCATCGTCGTGTCCATCGGCACCTCTGCTGCTTCTTTCTCTTTCTCTCTCTTTTTCTCTCTCTCTGTTTCTCTCTGTTTCTCTCTGTGTGTTGCTCTTTTCCTCTCAGCCCTACCTGTTTTCTCTGCGCCGCGAGCGATCGCGGGGTGGTCGGTCGGTCGAGACGCAGAGGCAAGATCGACGATCTCGCGATCGCTGGTCGGTGAACAATTACATCGCGTTGGAGTATTTTTACGGTCGGTCGCCCGTCGATACACTCCTCTCTCTCTCCGTCTCTCGTTCATGCGGATCTCCGGAGCTCTCCTGAGCCTCGACAGCCGACGAAAAATCGGGCGACGCGATCGCTATCTCACTCTGGTTACCCTGTAGTCGTCTATCTCTTCTTATGTGTGCGCGCGCGCGCGATTGTGTGTTGTGTGCGAGAGTGCTCCTTAATATGGTGAACGGTGCTCCCGAAAGGGACCACCGAGGGCACTCGCCGAATAAATCATCGTTTTTCTCGCCGTGTAGAAGTCTAAGCGATGCCAACGGGCGCTCCCCAAGGATGTGTCCCCGATACAAATCCTGCCTGGCCCGATGCATGTGCATGCACATACCGTAAACCTGACGGATGACAAGAACGAGCTGTGCCCACGAAAGGGCTTTTTTTGCACGCGAGCAGGATCGCCGCACGAAGCGCTGTGTGTTCTTTATGTGACTTGCATCGATTACCTCTCTCTCCGCTGTGTCATTAAGCAGGATGATGTCCCGACTTTGCCGGCGCGCAAAACAGTCCCCCGCGTCCGAAGTGTAAGAGATGGTGGCAGCCGCGAAGCCCCGCACGCGAGAGAGAGACGTCGGGAGAGACGAAGCGAAAAACACGCTCGCGTAACTAACAGCTTGTCGATGGCCCCGTTTAACTTTGATTACGCACCACCGCGTGCCTCCGTACATCTAATTACTAGTATAAATTAATACCGGCTGCATAATTTGCACTTGCACGTGTTTCATTTAACACGGCGACTGCAAAAGAACATCCTCGCGTAAGGAGAGAAAAACAGTATAAAACAGGAAAAAGTAGAACATCTAATTATTGACATCCCCTTAATCATTAATATTTTAGAAAAAATGGGCTTTTCTTGGCGTTAAACACGGAGAAAATGTTGCAGTAAAAGTCACGATAAAATTATATTTAAAATTATATTTTATACATACAATGCTTCTTTTGTAAAGCACTACATATTGACATTATAGTATAAATTATTATGTACCATGAGAAAAGAAATATCTGAAAAATAAAGAAAATATTCATTTGTGAATACTAATAACACATATTTACTTAGATATGAATTCTTTTGCTGAAATAAAATACACAACTGCTTTCATTAAAAGCAAAGATAATATTTCAGGAAAATACATATTTTCTCATTTGAAAGAAATTTTCTCCCCCAAGATAAAAAATACGTATATTATTAAAACATAAAAATGATATTGATACCTATAAATATTTTTTTTTTAGGTTTTTTATCTCAATGCATTTTTTTTAGGTTTTTTATCTCAATAAATTTGACGATTTGCCTGATATACGATATAAAAGCATTCAATTACTTACAATAATTTTGCAGTAAAAAGTCAAATGTGCGTGACAGTTTTATACAAATATATAGTAATTTTAGTTATAATTTCTGTATGGTCCACTATAAAAAATATCTTTTTGTAATTTTTACTCCGTACAGATAAATATCATTCTACTGTAAGACAAAACGAGATTACTTGGTTTCCTTTAAGTAATGACTATTTTCAACAAAGAATATTTTCTTGATAAAAATATTTTCTTAAAATATAATTATTATAAATTTTAAAGAAGTTTATTATCATATAATCAAAAAGAGAATTAATTTTCTTTACAAGCATATTATATATAAAATTTTATCGAAAAGAAAAACTTGGTTCAACTGTATATGTTAAGCAAACCGGATTTTTAATTTTATTTTATCTTCTTGGTTAAAGTGTTAAACTTCTATTAGGATTCAGAATATATTTTGCATAAATTATACTTCTTATAAATATAGTTATCACAAGTTTTAAAGAAGCTCATTATCATGTACTCAAGAGGAAAATTTATTCACTTTACAAGTATATTATAAAACTTTATCAAAAAGGGAAAGTTAGGGTTCAACAATATGTAGTAAGCAAACCAAATTTTCGGTTTAACTTTATATCCTTGGCTGAAATGCTAAACTTACTAGGATTTAGAATGTATTTTTTATAAATTCAGTGCTTATGATGAATCTATGATAGACTTGCCGATATGCAAACTCATAAAATATTTGAAATAAATAACATTTACTTGAATACACTATTTCTGTGTGAACAATATTTCTTCTGCGTGTAGTTAAGCTTCTTGCGTGCACTTTATGATTTTCCGCGAGAGATTCAAAGCTTTCCAGTAAAAACTGTCAACAACCAGTCGCAAGAGAAATTAAGTATTTCCAGAGCGCCAACGGTTAAGGAAGATCAATGATTGGCTGTCAATAATTGGCTGTTTTGCGCTACTTCGCTCGTTCTCGCGTGACGATGTGACATCACGCTAGGATATTTTCACAATCGAGGACTCGCCGAGGCTCTTCGCACTCGACGAGCCCTCGAAGCCTCTCCGTGCGCGCAGCCGACTCGAAAATACTCAACTCGTATTTACGCGATAATTGCCGAGTAATTTATTCGCTCACTCATTTACGCGATACAATCGTTGAGTGGACTAGCGGCTCTTATCGGCTCCGTTTCGAGCTTTCGAGAGCCGGGCTTTCATCGTCGCATTCTCTCTCCGCCCATTACATTTCCGCGACGAACCTATTTCCGTCATCGACCCTGCCCTACCCCCTCACACCCCTCGTCCCGCGCGCGGGAGCGCTACGGAAAATTGACGGTACATGATGCGACACGGTGTGCTCAGCCGAGCGTGCTTTTTCCGCTTTCAGCTGCGACCACACCGAAGGATTGCAGCCCCACGTTGTCGCCTCTGAACGCCTTCTCGAGGTCCATGGACAACTCGTCGCTATCGCGATCGGTCGAGCAGCTATCCAGCCCGCTGGAATCCGAGCCGCGGCGAAACAAGCAGCCTCCACCTGTCGTCGCACCTGCCGCGCACTCGCGATCGTCCGCCACTCGCGGCGGCACATGGGGATCCATTTCAAGGTAAGGAGGTCGGCCGCGATGCTGGTTGCCTTTCATCGTTCGGCCTTTCACGTACGTTCGTTCAGGGCACCATATACACTGAGAAGAAAGTGTTTGGCATTCGTAACTACAATCGCATAGTGAAAGAATTGTAGCCGGGCGAACCACTTTTGTATAGTGTATGTTACACTGAGGGAAGAGATATCTAAAAACTGTACTGAGAAAAATTATCCGATAGAAAATTAACAAACGGATATTTCCGATCAAATTTCGGTCAATTTTTATTCCGATCAGGAGGTTCGATTAAACGGATACTTCCGATCATAATAGCATTTTATCAGATAAACCGATAAAAAAATTATGAATTCGATACTTTTTATCGGATATTTCCTGGTCGGATACAAAATTCATCGATATTTTTCGGAAATATCTATTGTTAATTTTTTATCTGATAATTTCTTTCAGTGAGAGAAATTATAAAAATGTTTTTAATTAAAAAACATGTTTTTAATTATATAAATTTAAAAAAATTCTAGAAAAAAAGAACAAAGAAATATATATAAATAGGCGAATCGAGAATCGTTGACGAGATCGTCGGTATTTCATTGATCGAGCAATTATTTTTTGCATTTGCGCTACACGTGTCCTACTGATGATACTAATTACGTATTAATTAAGTGAAACGCATCGATTATGCGGCTCGTTGGGCAAACACTTAATCGCAATTATCGCCGGCGCAGCAGCGGGTGGTACATTTTACATGTTAACGAAATTGAATCGTTTCATTGTCGCGTGTAATTTATGCGTCCGCGACACTGAGCCGCGGATAATAGTCGCGGATAATAATAATAGGTTTGGCGGCAATGGCGGCGGCGGCGTAAAAAGCTTCGAGAGATCCGTGACAAGTTTCCGTGCGCGCTATATGGAGGTGAGGAAGTCGTAATATTGGGTGAATGCGAAAGTTTTGATGGATTTTGTGATAGAAAAATGGAACCAAGTAATTTGATTAAAAACGATCTAATTTCATTCCACCAAATAAACCCTATCGTTTTCTATCACACTGAGAGAAATTATTCAATAAGAAATTAACAAACGGATATTTCCAATCAAAATACCGATGAATTTTTTAAATTCTATCCGATAAGAAATATCAGTTCATAATTTTTTGGTCGATTTATCTGATGAAATGCCATTATGATCGGAAGTATCGGATTAAATTTAATCGGATATCCTGATAGGGTATAAAAATTTATCGATACTTTGACCAGAAATATCCGTTTTTTAATTTGTAACCGAATAATTTCTCTCAGTGTATCTTTTGCCAACGTTCTAGCAGCATTCGTATGCCCCTGACATAAAAGGTGGTCGGCTTTTCGTCTAAGAATGAAGAAACGTAATTTTGCAGGTCGTGAAAAGCAGCGAATTTTCTATCGTTCAAACTATTTTGTAACAACCAAAACAAGTGATAATCTGATGGAGCAATGTTAGAATAATACGGCGAGTATAATAGAATATTTCAACTTAGCTTCCTGAATTTTCGTTGCGTTTTTATTGAAGTATAAAGTCTAGCGTTGTCATGATGAAAGACAACGCCTTTCCGTTTGGTCAAATCAGAGGTTTCTCTTCAATTACTGCCTTCACAATGTCCATTTGTTGATAATACTTATCGAAATTGATCAATTCGAGCAGCTCACAAAAAGACCACGTCTTTGCAACCCTACTATACAGACGACATAATCTTCCGAGGATGCAAACCAACTTTTGGCATAGGCTGACCGCGTTCACTGTTCTATCTGCAAATCCATTTTTGTTCCACATTGTCGTATTGGATCTATTTTTTGTTTCCTGTCACTAATCCACCCAGAAACGATTGTCAGTCAACCAAGCAAGAAGGTTATAGAGGTTTGGTTCATTTTATTCTTCTCTGTTAGATTATGTGACACATCGAGCTTTAAATTATAGTTTCTTTAAAAGCCAAAATGCAGTCGATTTATTTAGCCTCTCAGCAATCTTTTATGTCAAAACTCGTAAATTGATGTCCACTAAATTGCGCACAATGTCGTCATCGATACCGGAAGGCCGGTCGGAACATGACTGATCTTTGAGGTTCACGCAAAATCACGCTGTTTAAATTTTGCAAATTATCTTTTCAAACACTTCACAAATATTTTTCATGGTATTCGAAATGGCTGTTCTTTTCCGAAACTCGTACATCATAATAGCACGCAAATGAACTCTATCATTAATTATTCCCAATTTTACTTCTCAGAACAACACTAAACTGACCAATCAAAAACCAAATCAGACCAATTCCTGCTTATAATTACAACTAAAAGTATGATCTTTCCAACAGCATATAATACATCTACATATTAGCAAGCATATACTGCCGATAAAACTGGATCGATATCTTTGAGAAGGCCGTCAAAACTTTTGCACTCACCCAATATTACGCCTCTCTCTCGTCAATTCATTCACGCGACGATAAACGCGACGGCGTTATAAGCGCGCACTCCGGCTCCGGTTGTCCATTGATTTTTCAATCTCGTATGTTCGCATGCGGCACACAGCTGCTACACGTTTTTGTACTCTATGACAGCTTTTAGTATTACAGGAGACGCGCGGGGGACGATCGCCACGCGAGTCTTTGCCGTCTAACAATGTACAAACGTGCGAAATGAGTTTGTAACACGATCAACGAGAAATTGCAATTGTATACGACGGTGCATTATCGCGTGCAACAACGGCGGCGTACGATGTGTACACGGAAAGAATTTTATAGCAAAAATTACTGTAGGATTTTGTAACAGATCGACATTCTGCAGTAATTCACTATTCTTTCATTTTATACGAGCTGTTCATATATTTTAGAAAATGAAATGTGCTGTTAAAACATTTGCTACCCCGCATAGAAATTTCTCAATATTTTCCCAAACACAGGTTACGTTTCAATCCAAATGCTCAACTGTGTTGCAAAATAAATTATCCCACTACAATGCCAATTGAGAATTCCATTCTTGTTCCGATCATAGATTCTCTGTCTAGTATTGAAAAAAAATATTCAAAAAAGCTTTTTTAAGTGTTTTTACATCAGTTTTATTAATGCAGTAAAGACAATACAAATGTTTTCTCTGGCTTACATTGTTCCATAGTAAAACGCAAAATAATATATTTTCATTTTATGTGTAATACATTTGTATACTGAGGATAATTTAACGATTTCATGCATGTATAAATCAGGAGAATTTGTCGGATATTTTTATATGTTTTTTACTTTCTTAACTCGAACGTCTCCTATTATAATTTCTTTATAATGATATAGTGTTTTCGCAAACACTTTGAGTATTTATTCTTTACAAACATGTGTATATATATATATATATATATATATATATATATATATATATATATATACTTATAACGAATAAACACTCAAAGTATTTCATATATTTTGTTCAATTTTAGTTTAAAATGTAAACCAGAGAAATTTAGGGAAACAATCTGTCCGGGTTTCCTACTTAGATTCGCATGTTTAAAACATTACACTTTTAACCAGAACCTGCATAATTTCCCATCTAGAATTTATAATAATTGTGGGAAATCGGGTTGAATTCCAATTATATCCCTAAGTATTTTCTACGCGGGATGTTTTTAGCGAAGTTTATTATATCTCTCTTAACAAGATAGACTTTACTGACAGTCTTCCTGAACTATCAAAACATAATACAATTGAAAACATAGCACAATTGAGAAGAATTGATACGAAAAAGAATTATATTCCCTCCATGTAAATTCACGACGACTAACGGGAGAATGAAAAAGTCGCGCGCAGAGCGGGATTTCGTGAATGATCGCGAGACTTCTCCGTTTTCGGGAGATGGGTGCTGAAACCATAATCGATTTTTCAATCACATCCCCTCAGACGCCATGCAACCGGTATATCGGCAAGAGGCTTTCATCCCTCAGCCGTGATTTATTCTAAATGATGGATGGTGCCAAGCGAGTCTTTGGCTATAGAACAGGGCAACGGGTAGAAATCTCATAAGCCTCCATTATGCCGCCAAGCCGTTAACACGACAAGGCACGAAACGCATTAAGTGTACCGCAGTGGGATCTAGTTTCTCGTTTTTGGTAGCGTCGTTGGACTCGGGATTTGACGACTGCACGAAGGTCTCGCGACAACAAACATTCGTTTGCCGCTTATACGAACGGAGTTTTATGATCAAATTATTTATTATAGAATTTTGTAACTGAGAAATATGCCAACCTTCTGCACTAATTTATTATCCTTTCATTTTTCAAATGTACTATTTTATATTTTAGGAACTGTGAGATGCATATTAGATTTGGTTTCGCGAAAACCTAAAATATTAAACTGTAAGATGTACTATTAAAAATTCTACTGTCTTTAGCACAATTGTTACATTAATAATATTACATAATTGTTACATTAGTAATATTATGTTTACTACGTTAGCAAGAGATTTTTACTGATAGCTTAGTGCAAAATATAAATTTTGATAATAGTCTATTCCTACACACAGAGAAAATACAATGCAAATAGCAACAAAATTTTTGTAATCTAACAGGATTATAACTGAAATTACTGTATATTTGTTTAAAACTGTGCATGTTTGAATTTTTATTACAAAATTATATAATTATTTGAGTGCTTTTTTATATCATGTATTAGGTAAATCATCAGATTTACTATTTTTATAATAATTTATTTCAATATACAGAGAAGAAAATCCAGCTTTACATAAAACATTTAGAAAAACATTAAAGAAAGCAATTAAATTCTAACGTAATTTTTACTATAATAGTAATTTCTCAATCCATGTTGTCGTATAAGCACTTTAATTGTTAATTCTCTTTAATAGAACATCGAGAGTCTTGATGCTTCTATTTTTATTAGAGTAGTAGACCAAAATTATAGAGGGTGATTCAAAATAACTCCCTGTCCTTAAAATAATATATTTTTAGACGAATTCTAAGATATTTTTTTCTTTGGGAAAATGTTATCCGAAGCTTAATTTTTGAATTATAAAAAGATGAATAGTTTGTTTATTACGGGTCGGATTTAGGAATTAGGCAGGGGCAACACAACTCACCGTCAGACTCAAGCACTTATGTGGGATGCTTGGTAATCAATACATGTGATAGCGCTTATACATATTAATTCTATAACTTTCGTTAATAAGATCGTGCGTAACAGGAAGTAATTTTGTTTTAAGTTAGTAGAGTACGATTATAACGTATGATTATAAAAGATTACGATCGTAGAGATTATGATCATATGATTATAATGTAACAGAAAATTGTCCTCCTATATATTCTATGTATCTCATATAAATGAAAAAATATACGTAGAGAGAATATGTATTATATATTTTTTTTAATATATAAATTCTTTTCAGTTTTATAACATTTCTATACTGAAAGAATTATTCGATAAAAAATTAACAAATGAATATTTCCAATTAAAATACTGACAAATTCTGATCAGGAAACATCCGATGAGAAACATCGATTTATAATGTTTTGATCGATTTATTTGATGAAATGTTATTATGATCAGAAGTATCCAATAAAATTTAATCGGATATTCTGATCGGAATTTGATCAGAAATATCCATTTGTTAATTTTTTACTGGATAATTTTTCTCAATAGTGCAGGAGTAGAAGCTATCCGAAAGGTCTATCTTGCTAAGAAACAGTAAATTTTACTAAAAACAGTAAATTTTTTAACAGCGCATTTTAGTTTTTAAAATATAAATAGCACACACACACACATAAAATAAAAATACAATCAATTACTACAGAATGTCGACTTAACCCTCGGTTAGAAAATTCAATAATAATTTTTACTATAAAATTCTCTTCGTGTATAAATTTTACAATAGAGCCCAGTGACTTTAAAAGCCAATTTGTAAAGATTCATTACCCGACTCCCCGATCATTATTCCATAGATATATACGATATGAATCACTGTTCTCCCTTTTGACAGGGTGTTCGCTCGCTCGCGACACCGGAAGACGGCAAACAGTTCCGGTGGCGGGAGCGGCGGCAACGAGGGATCGGACGGCTTTGATCCATATCGATCGTGGTCGCCACTCACTGAGGAGGGTTATGCCGAGAAACTTCGTTTGCTGCGAGAAGCGGCCTCCGTGCCTATGGAACGATGGCGAGCCCCTACCGTTTTAGCATGGTTAGAGGTGGCTCTCGGGATGCCGCAGTATGGACCGCGATGTGCTGAGAACGTCAAGTCGGGCAAGGTAATGGAACGGGAGAGAAAGAAGGGGAGATAAAGAGAGAGAAAGAGAGGGAGAAGGGAAGAGAGTGCGGTCTCTTCACTTGTTTCATCAACAAGCCTTTGAGACCGTTTAATCCGTAGACGCGAATGCGAAGTGTTCACAACACCCTCGGTCGTTGCGACCCAGTAGCCGAGATCGATCTCGAGTTAAATCGCCGACGAATCTTTCGAGCGTGAACTAAACGGGAACTTGAAGCAGCCGACAGTGTTTAACTATTGCTCGAAATATAATCGATACCGAGTATTTTGTCTGTGATTATTGACACACAGTATAGAAAATTTTTTGGGATTTAATTAGGATCCATTCTGACTTTCCAAAAGAATGTTCAGCTCTGATTGAAGAATCTGATTCGAATTAAAAGTGTTTCAAAATGCGACTTTCAGTGGAAGACCTACACAGATTCTATTTTCTTTAACGAAAGTTTTCTAATGAGAGTTTTTCCTTTTCTTGATTTCTATCTTGATTTCTATGTTGAACAATATATCTGAAACGCTTTAAATATTTACACACACTTAACAAGTTCAAATATTTAAAGAGGATAAATATCTAAAACTCTTCCAAGTATTTTGTTTAACCTTTTTCTGAAAAAAAAATTATAAATGTCTTAAGTAAAACAATATATATTATATTTTTACTCTTCAAATATAAAACTTTAACATCGTTATACATTTACGTGTATTCAATTATTTATAATTAACGATCGATAAATTATAAAAATAACCGTATATCGTAACCAACAGCCTATATTTTGAACAGAATAGACCTTATATTTCTATAAATTATAATTATGAAAGTACTAAGTAATTATTATTTTGTTAATTTCTCTTCTTTTCCTTTTATTTTTTCTACGCAATTTTTTTTTCTTTTAGGTTACCCACTTAAAACCGCAACTTCAATTATTTGAGAAATCGAAATAGATCTCAATTAGATCTCAGAACATTTTTTATGCGTGATAAATATTGGGATAAGAATGGGATTTTCAATTAGTATCGCAACAGGGAAGACCGGATTTAAATGGCCCTGGGGATATGTTGTTTATATGATTTCTTTTAGTATTTACCTTGACAGGAATAGTAGATATATATACAAAACACATAGTTCTGTTAGAACTTATTATCTTTAAATTTCATTTTTTCCCAAATTTTATTATATAAAATCAGAATAATATTAACAGTTAAAAGTAGGAAAAACTGATTTAATAGTAAATTTAAAGTAAATTTTCAAGACGCTAGAAATTTTGTATCAATATTCTCCATTATGAATGAATAAAATTAAATGACATGTTACTAATTAAAATAAAGTTTCTTGTAAGTGCATGATATACTGTTTTAGATAATAAAAGCAATTTTCATTTATAAAATGATTAAAATTGAATATATTGACGGAGGAGCTAAAGTTGGCCCATAATTAAAGACCGACAGAGGGCTTATCTCTCATGGAAACTCCGGAACTACTAACATATATATATATATATATATATTTTTTTTTTTATATAGTCTTTTTATCCAATGGACAACTAAACCCTCTCAGGGCAAGTTAGCCACGTTGCTACTTGTTTGTATTTTAGTTATTATCTAAATATTGTATTAAATCTATTTGATTAAATAAAATATAGGTTAGTAGGATCGTAGCAGGCATTAACACGTAGAAGAGGGTTGCCTCTATCATGTTTGCACAGTTAGTCACGACAATTAGTTGTTTGAGAAGTTGTAACTTCGAAATTCTGAAATATGGGACATCTAACTCCGGTCCCCTCTGTCCCTATTTGGAGTAAGTTGGATGATCTGGTCGGAATCTGTGCTATACTTGGGAATGTTTGGGAAGTTTCTATACGGGATGTTATGTCTCGCCGTTTGTTCGTAACGTCCACTTGCAGGTTCTGCTTGAACTGAGCGATGCCGAGCTGGAGGCCGGTTTAGGCGTGACTCATCCCCTTCATCGGAAGAAACTGCGTCTGGCTATCGAGGAGCATCGGCACCCGAGTCACGTCCGGTATCCCTGCATCGCCCAACTCGGACACACCTGGGTGAGCTCCGAGTGGTTGCCGGACTTGGGTCTGGCCCAGTACTCGGAGAGCTTCGCCACCAATATGGTAGACGCGCGTATGTTGGACCATCTGAGTAAGAAAGAGCTGGAGAAGCTGCTCGGGGTGACCAGAAAGTTTCACCAGGCCAGCATCGTTCACGGTATTCATTTGCTGCGGATGTTGAACTACGATCGACAGGTGAGCGAGCTCGCGTTATCGGAAGACCATTACGAGCGCGAGGGCAAAGCCTCCCATGCCGAGATCGCTTTTCACGTATCACTTCCCCGTGACGACTAATTAAACAACGTAATTGCGGCCGACGAGTAGTGACCGTTCTAAAGAGACCTCGTGCTTCTGTGACAGGCGCTTGCTGTCAGGAGACACCAATGCGAGCAGGTCGACACGGATCCTTTGGTCTGGACGAATCAGAGGTTCATTCGGTGGGCGAGAAATATCGATCTCACGGAATACGCCGAGAATTTGAAAGGTGACCCACGCACGTCAGATTTCTCGCATCGCGCCGAGCTTCCTTTTACCCCTCGTTTTTATACGACGGATTTTCTCTCGACGAGAACCTTTTCGCTACGAAGGCCGTGTTATACTGTATTAGATCCGTCCTGCACTGTGGTAGCTGTTTATATATGAAAGCCATATATATCCGTCTTCGAAAAAAGACGACATATGCGCAAATGCTGAATAAATAAAGAATTGGATTCCCAACTGATATCGTAATATATAACTAATTTTGGGATACATTTGAACATTCTGACCGGAATCTGTGCTGTATTTGGAAAAATCTTGAGGAACATCTATGCGGGTCGATTATAATATGAAATGAGAGAAGTGACAGAGTTATGAGACATCCAACGTCACAACTATCACGGAAGATTCAAAAGAGAAATATGAGTATATGTATTATACTCGTATCCGATAAGGATATAACGAAAGTCCAATATCTACTTGTGTATTATCACTTCGACTTCTATAACCGATTACCACGCAAGCTTGTAAGCAATAACTCATAATTGTGAGGCGCTTTTAACTTCGTCAAGTTTAATCTACAATGTGCTCTTTGCTTTCTGTTTCTTGTTTTCTCTCTTTTTCTAACTTAAACCTGATCTACAATATGCTCTTTGCTTTCTGCTTCTTTCTCTTTATCTCTTTCTGACTCAAATTTTAAGCTTTAAACCAGAAAAAGACAGAAGACAAAAAACGCAAAGAGCATATTGTAGATCAGGCTTTAAGGCTTAAGTTTGATCTACAATATGCTCTTTGCGTTCTGTTTCTTGTCTTCTGTCTTTTTCTGACTTAAAGCTTAAGGTTCGAGTCAAAAAGAGATTAAGAAAAAGAAACAGGAAGCAAATAACAAATTGTAGATCAAGCTTCAAGGTTTGAGTCAAAAAGAGATAAAGAAACAGGAAGAAAAAGACACATTGTAGATGAAGTTTTAGAAGAAATGAACCATTTAGCGGCCGATTGAACACTATGGACACTGTCACTTCCTAGCGCGCCACATAGCGAAAAGGTTAAAAACACATAAAACTCACACAACCTTTTTATAATAATTCTTATAATAAAAACTCCCACAAAGCGACCTTTAACCTTCACCTGAAGTTGCTTTTCGAATTCGTCTTCCTTCTCCTTCGAGACGTCAATCGCGATCTCGGACAAAGGAACACGTTCTGTTTTTTTCTGCCGCAGACTCGGGTGTGCACGGTGCTCTGGTTGTGTTGGAGCCGTCGTTCACCGGCGACACCATGGCGACCGCTTTGGGCATACCGCCAGCCAAGCACATGATCCGGCGGCACCTCACCGCCGAATTAGAAGCGCTCGTTCTGCCAGCAAGGTACTCAGTCTACTGTCATCCAGAGGCGACACTGGACAACGCTCACTAATCGACACGACGTCGTTGCTCTCGTTGCCAGCGAGACCGACGTCCGGAACAATATCCGAACTCGCGTCCGCGAACTCGCGTTCCGCCTCGAAGGAGCCTCTTCGGAGCGTCTCGAGGATTTACCGATTCTTACGAGGCTTTGAGAATTATATTTCGTGGAGCCTCCTCGCCTTTGTTAACTCACTTTCACCGCGCTTCGTATATCGATGAAGAGCGGCCTGACTAGAAAGTTATTTCATGGTCTTGATCAGTTTGATCCCAATAAGTTAATTGATTTGGTTATGAAGTGATGTTATCAAGCATGGCAATAAGCATGCAGTGTAGCAATCGGGACTTATTATATATCTAATAGATCTAAAATGACTGCGCGATTTACAGGATGTATCTTTTTTAATAAGCATATCTAGATTATTTCTCTTTATTGCTATTTTCTTTGTAAGAATTTTGAAAAACAGAATACAAAATATCTAATCTTTGTATTTGGTCTGAGTTAATCCTTTAATTGGCAGACTCAAGAAAATTTAAAAGAGAGAGAGAGAGAGAGAGAGAGAGAGAGAGAGAGAGAGAGAGGAAACACATTTTTATCATCTAATGACAAAAATCGAAATTGAGTCATTGACGAACAGGTAATCGGATGTCACTCCAGAGTAACAGTGCCAAATAAATGGGTTCTACGTCTATCGTTCTTACATATAACTCATGAGAAATCGATTTTGCTTGAAAGCAATATTACTAAATAAAAGGTTAAAAGAGTACAATAGTTTAAATGAATCAAAAGGATTTTGATATTTTATTTCGAAATTTTCCTGAGCATTCCATTTAAGGGATTGATAAATCACTCTGTACAAACCAAACAACTGATTGGGATCAACCTAATGACGTGATAAATTTTTTAACGGGGAATACGTACGCTCCTTAAACCAATGTTTGAAATTACTTGCACTTTTAAAGCTACATTTTTTAAGTCTACGCTTACTTTCTTTTTATCTCTCCCACTCGCGCGGCGAGTTTTGCAGCTGACTGTCGCGGCGCTTAGTCTCAGGATTGTCAACCTCACAAGACTTGTGGAACTCTCTAATTTTGTAAAAGTTTTTATTGAAACTAGTGTTTTATATTGTTGTAATAATAATAATATAAATGTTGGTAGCGTAGATAAAAGACAAAAATATTATATAGAAGTAACATACATAGAAGAATTTCACAAGTTAGAGAGAGTTCCGCAGGCCTTATGAAGTTGACGGCTGAGCGCAGCGATTGTCCATCGCACGCTCGACTGCCGAGCGGGGCAGATAAGGGGAAAGAAGCAGGTGTAGTTCTCGAAAATTGCCTCGAAGACGCAAGTAATTCCGAGCACTGCTCTAAACAGCTCACATCGAGTCACGCGAACAGAACAAACGTAGCTTCTTCCAACTTCGTAAAGAAGATTCGCCGCGAGAAGTCCATGAAACCAAGGAATGTATCCGGTGAAAAACACATGGCGCGCCGCTTATGGGGAAAATTACCACACGTTCCCCTCGCGTCCCTCAACAGAAATATTCACGCGAACGTGATTCACTGCCTTCCGTCTCGTTGCGCGTCGATCAGAAGGCTGCGCATTATAAGAAGAAAAAAGGACGACGCTCGATCCTTGGACAATTTCGATAAATTCAAGACAATAAAGCGGAATCGAGCCTACACTCGTCGCGCGAGAGGCGCTCTTTCGAGGCTCCGCTTCGAGACGGGAACACGACAGCGAGTTGGGGACGGGTGAAGAGACGATAGAAGGAGATGAGATTGTTACGGTCGTTATACTCCTCATCCTCCAGTCGGCTCGATCGCCGTGTATCATCGCATACGATGCCCATGCGTTCTCGATATGAGCGCCGCGTTAACGAACGAAATAGGCAAGTGCGAGTTGTGAGGCAACGAATAATGACGACACGGTTACACGCCGGGTAAAGTAAAAGTACCAGTGCCTGGACACTATATATAATAACACTGGTACCTAACTCTGGGTATTCTTATTATTTTGATTTTTAATTATGAATATTTAAACTTTCAATATAGAACATATATACATATATTGTGAATATGCAAGGTTTGACGATTATAGTATATACTGAAAAAAGAATTTCCTAACAGATACTAAGAAAACAATGTTGTAAAAGAGCCAAAATTTACCTATATGAAACGTATGAAACGCATAAAACTGGTCTACCTTTATACTTTTGGCCTGCTGAACTCGAATATAAAACTTAAAATAGTCCAAATCCCGGGGAACTTTGTGAAAATACAGTTTTTTACAGAAAAACCTCGCTTTCCAGTAAATAATTTTTGATGAACGATTGACAATTGTGAACTAAAGAAGTTTCTTTTACTGATTTTTTTTTTATATTTTCGTGAACTTGACAGATATTTCTTGATCACTTGACATATAATCGCAGCTCTTACCAACGCAACTAAAACCTATTCCTTTTTTGCACCCTTAAAAAGTTCACATACAATCTTAAACATTTTAAAAGCTATTTTTTGTAATGAAAATGTTGTTTATGTTATATCATGAATAATGATATGAGCATATCATTAGCTAGCCGCTAGCTCTGCACATGAACGTTACTCTCGATTGTACACTATCTCCTTTACACTACGATTCACGGAACTGTAAGAATAGGTCAAATGATCAAGAATTATTTGTTAAATTAAAATATATCAATAAAAGTCAATAAAATCAATAACAACTTTTCTTTTATTCACAATTATTAATCGTTCATTAAAAAGTATTTGATGAAAAACGAGGCTTTTCGTAGAAAAACTAAATTTTCACAAAGTTCTCCGAAATTTGGACAATTTTAAGCTTCATATTCGAGTTCAGCAGGCCCAAAAATATAAAAATAACCCGATTTCATGCATTTCCCTCACGGGAAAATTTTGGCCATATCACAACATTGATCTTTTTTCAATTGTTGCTAAATTATTCAGTCAAATAATGCGGACGAAACATAAATAGAACATCATTTAGTTATATAAAGCAAATGTATAGTTCTTAGAGCTAAAATTTAGTTGCTTGAACTGTACATTTAGATCATCAAATTAAATTCTGGAAGTTTTTTAATACCAAATCTCTTGATAACAGAAAATAAGATATTTGGTAAATACTAAAATTTGTATTTGCGACGAACATTGTTTTAGGTAATTTTTTAATTTTATTTAAAAAATTTGATCTTGCATACAATTTAAACTATTTTAAGATATCTATATTTAACTTAAATAATTTTAACCTAAATTCTGTAACTAAATACATTTGATAATAATTACTAGACTTTTTTCAGTATATAAAACTCTCATATACACGTAGATTAAATCAAACTGGACGAAAAATTTCTCTACTATTTTGCAAATAATTACATAAAATTTTGAGTTATTAATTAGACAAGATTGGTGAATAATTATACGGAATATATTTAAAAGAAAGAATTTTAATTACAACATGATGTTTCCTATAATCCCATATTCTAAGCGAAAACTTATCGAAAGAATATTTCTCTTCTAATGAAGTGAGCTGTTAATTTAAAATCTACTAGATATTATTCTAACTTTTTTCCTCTTGAATCAAGAGGAATACGATTACTTGAAGCAAAATACCGTCTGCGCGACAATATGAGAGGCACGACAAGCAGTGTGTATCGTTGCGCTCTGTCGTGTACGACAGGCTGAAGCCACCCGAAAGTTAGATGCCAGTCATTAGTGTCCAAACATATTGGTGCTTTTACTTCGCGTCCACCACAGTCTACGTGGCCAAAGATAAGTCCCCGAGTAACGCCGCAGGTCACAATCGATCGCGACCGCGAAGTAGAGACATTCGCTAGAACATCGTCAATTATTTGTTTACAAGGGTGCTTTCGCGAGCGCGAGCTAACGGTCGGGAGTGTTTGTGACGCTTTCCGTTTCCTCCCGACCACGAGAAGAGCCTCTTGTCCGCGAAGCTTTCGCGTCCTATCGGAAAAATTCACCGGCGGGTCCCCTCGTCGGCGACACGCGCTCCACGCTTTTCTCGCGAGCGATCGATAATCGCGTTTCGCGCCGTAAAATAACGTTAACTCGGAGAGGAAGAAAGAGAGAGAGAGAGAGAGAGAGAGAGTGAGAGAGTTGTTACTGTATAGTCGCAATTGGTAATCGATAGGCAGCTACTTTTCCAGAATTTCTACGAGTAAAGTTAGGGTAGCCGTGTAAGGATCGTATCCGTGAACTTCCGCAAAAAGCTTTCGTAATCGACAGAATTTTACGTATCGCTAAGGGATTGAGAGAGGGAGAAAGAGAGAGAGAGAGAGAGAGAGAGAGAGAGAGGGAAAGAAAGAAATAGAGAGAATGTTGTAAATATTGCGATCAGGGCTCGGACGCGAAGGGAGTACAATTTTCATCTGGACTTTATCGCGTTCTTCTGCAACGCGATTAATGCGAACGCGACGTGTCAAATGAATCACTCCGCGACGAGAAATGAAGATCACGAGGCCGACGTTCGCCTTCAATTTCTACGATTCCATATAATAATAGCATTCCTCGACGTTAAAACGAACACCAAGCGTGACACGGCCTCGATACTATCTTTGTCGCGTATATCGAGTACACTAAGCTTCGATAGAGTTTTGACATTTATTAGGGCGAAACTCATTAGTCTTAATCGTTCTCGTCATATCTGGATATTACAGAATATGATATAATATGTTAAAATAGAGGAGACCGGGTCTAATTGGGATCTAAGGAATATGTTGGCCATGTGCCTTGTTTTTGTAATTATCGTGAGTGAAATGATGGAAATGGAATTGCAAAATTTTCACTTTAGAATATATGTACTTTTGCCCGAACTAAAATCGCAATTCATTAAAATCGCAATATTACAGTTAAAAAAGTAGAAAAAAAAACTGGTAAAGAGCTGCCGAGTACATTTTTGAGTCGCTATTTCGTGTTATTAGTTAGAATGAAGCTTCCTGAAAGTTTGTATGGTGTAATGATTTCAGATAATAATATTAAATTTTATTTATAAAAGTATTGTAATAGCATAATCGAGTATAATCAATGGACGAAGTAAAGCTGCATGAGAAAAAAGAATGATAGTGTCAGAAAATAGTAAAATATGGTATTTTTATTTCTGGCTTCAGTTACCAATTCTTGGTTACGTTAACCTATTCGATATCATTCATTAGCACTGCGATTCATTGTCTGAAAAAACGCATTTTTTAGACAACGAATTGATAGATTAGCGTAACTAAAAATTCATTTTGGCTAGAAAGCCAGAAAGAATGAAAGAAAGAAAGGAAAGAAAAAGCCAGGACGAAAAGTTATACTACATTTTACTGTTTTTCTGATTGACACAAATTTATTCTTTCTTTTCCATGTGGTAAATGTAAATAAGAAACAAAAATTGCTATATTTTGGTTATCGAAAATATGTCTATATATTTTTTTTTCTGAAACAAAACGGCGTCAATAATTTTAATTACCACAAAATAATTCTAAACGATGAAACATTTTTCAAATACTTTATAATACATATCTTGCATTTTTATTCTAGATTGTGTTAGTTAATTTGACCAGTACCAAGGCAAGATAGCCACATTGTATTATACTCGTATCTCGATTCTTACAGAACTAAATATGCGACTTACAGAATCGTTGCTGGTATAAAGACATAAAGGTTGCCTCCATCATTTAATCGCAATAATTAGTCGACTGAAAAATTGTGATTTCAAAATTCTGCAAAGTGTAGCATCTTGCCCCGGCATCCTCTGTGTGAAACTGTCGAAAAACGACAGATTAACTAACTTATCAACAGTCACATAAGGAAAAAAAATAATTTTGTTAGTGTAACTGAGTTTTCCGTCGCCTGGTAAGATTAGGGACCAGATGAAAAACTCGGTTGTAGTAATAGAAAGAACCTTCCTGCAGAAGGCTTCTATTCAGTTAGTTCTCAGTTATTGCAACGAAGTTTTAATACAGCCGAATGCTGACTTTTCTGTCGCGGTAACAGAGTCGCCGCACTTTCATCTGGTCTCTCTTCACACAGTTGCACGAGCTGAGATCTCTTTCCATGCAATTTATACACATATCCGGATACGATGCAAACGATTAGAGAGACTAATGAGTTTTGGTCTGATGAATGTGGAGGCCTCATTGAAGCTCAGCGCACTAATCGGAACGAAGCTGAAACGTGGACTCCCTTGGTATATCGAGAGCTAATGGGTAGAGAGCATAAGAGCGCACACGTTCGCCGCCGATCATCGATCGGACGCCGATCATTGTCTCGCGGCGAGCGTGAGCGAAAAAAAGAGAAGTATCCGCGTATATAGTCTTTAATACACATGCCATACCTGGATATATATGTCGGGCATACACACACGTAAATACAGTATACAGTTACAGTCGACATAATGTACATATACAAACGTACGCGATTACCCAGTGGAATGTGCCGGAGTACTCTTTGCCGTACTCCCGCGGCGCGCCGACTCGCAGCGCGATTCGCTGGGTCTGCAAGTCCACTCGATCGCGGATCCACCGGTAATGTGTCTCATAGCTGAGCCGTAGCCCACAGCTGCCGCCTGCACTGCACTGCGCTATGTACAGCACATGTTAATCTTAGTGATCGTGGTGTAATCCTTGGTCAGACATCCCCCGCATTCCATTACTGCATTCGCCCTCTTTCAAGCCGTCTCTTGGCTGACGAGATTCGTGACAGCCGGTGATCTTTCGAAATCTGAAGATTTTTCGAGATGTTCTCGGGAGCATCAGATACGTCGGTCGTACTACCCACTTTTTATTGGTAATGTATACAAAAGAAGGAAAAAGCTAGTTGTGTCCTTTTCGTACTTGCCAAAGAGCAACCCTCGGGCAACCCTCAAACGTCTCTCTGGCCAGGAATCACACCACAGTGCATTATGATTCCTTTTATCTTTTTCTGATTTGCCAACTTTGATATATTTATACATCTTTGACTGTTCGATGTTTACTCTCTCGTTGACTGGTTAGCGCGGCTGCGAGGTGCGCCTCGGTCGGCCCCGAACATCGGGACGATCCTGCGCAGCTCGGCAGTCCGGTAAACATTATACATTATTCTATATCGGTGGTGCACAAAATGCTTGTGTATGTATATTTATGTTGTAACTAGATATTCATTATGAGATAGATCTCGTTCTACCGTCGCGGGCACCTGCAGCGAGCCACTACCAATATTTGTCGGGCCAAACGTCAAGAGCGAGTGTCGTCGGGACGCGGGAGCGGGGGAGAAGCTCTTGCCCGCTCTCGAAAACGAGAGGCCCAGTTACAAACATTCGCGCGAAAGTAAATGTCAACTCGCGCGATAAATTCCAATTTCCATGCAAAAGAAAAGAGTCGACACTGCGAGATAAGTGTTTATCGGCAGAAATGCGTTTGCAAGATCAAAACTCCGCGCACGCTCCGGGAGAAAGAGCGGTTCGCTGTAGCACGTGCCGAACGTGTGTGTGTGTCCGTGGTCGAGGTATGTGCATATATAGGCAGTGGGAGGATGCGCGTATACGCAGAAAGGCGTGCATGAAGGGTGGTGTGCGTGTGTTGCGTAGAGGTCAGCTGGAGGTGGTCCCGAGGAACAGCAACGCCGGGGGTCGTCCGATGAGCACCGCGAGCGCGGGTGGTAGTCTCGGTCGTGGGAGCAGGGCGCTGCACCTACAGCACCATCAGAGCTCGCTGTCGGCCCTCCACATGACGGCGAATCACACCGGCACCGTCGACCGCCGCAGATCCAGTCTCAGGGTAACGTACCGTCTAGATTCGACAAGGGCCTGGTCGGCGCACGACTGCACCAGGAACTCGATGCCGCCCCCCGCCTCGCCCGTGCACTCTTCTTGATCCTCTCTTCCAGTCCGCCGCCGTGTGTCGCGATATGTGTGTGTGTGTGCGGTCGCGCTCAGGGCAACCCTCGCCAAGGTAATAGCCTGCAAGCGCAGCGCGCCCGAGTCGAGCTTGCGTATCTTAGGAGGTTGCACACACGCTTTGCGCTTTCTCTCGTTTTCTATATTTATATAGACCGAGTGCTTCTACTCTCTAAATTCCTTGCAGTGGAATCTTGCTTGAAACGAGTGAAGATATCTTTACTCAAGGCGATTGTGAAGATACCGCCACTTAAAATCGCGAGAGTAAATGCTCCGTTCAAGCTTAGAGTGAATTCTGAGAATTCATATGAGTGAATGTCTCGATTGATTAGAGTGAATATGTTCCTCTGACGATAAAGTACTCAGATTCACTCTTCAACTCCGAATGAAGGCATTCACTCGACGATTCAGAGTAAAGGAGTCACTCTGTATGAGCGAGAAATTACTCTAATTTGAGTGTCTCGGTGGTCCCTTTACATTCAAACAAAAACATGGTAACAGCAACTATTTAGCTGACAACTATATGAGTTTTGTATGTAGAATTATGATATATATAGTTTGATTTTTAACTATTTTGTAGTTAAAATGCAACTTAAGCTTCAGTTGCAGTAATTATAAAATAGTTTATTGAACCGAATCTATTAATTCTACATACAGAATTCGTATAGTTGTCACCTATATAGCTATTTTCACCATATTTTCTTCCCTGAGTGTAATCTTCCAGTGAAATTTTACTCCAAGAAATGTAGAGAGTACTCTCTAAATTTCTTGGGGCGGAATCTCACTAGAGTGAAAAGTGGCAATATCTTTATTTGAAACAATTGTGAAGATACCATCACTTAAAATCGCGATAGTCAATGCTTTATTCAAGCTTTGAGTGGATTCTGACTCCATATGAGTGAATGTCTCGATTGATTAGAGCGAATATATTCTTCTGACGGAATATATCAGATTCACTCTTCAATTCCGAATGAAGGCATTCACTCGACGACTCAGAATGGAGAATTTCCTCTACATGAGTGAAAAATTACTCGGATTCGAGTGACTTCGTGATCATTCTATTTCTTGAGTGAAATTTCACTGTTCCAAGGAATTTCAAGAGTACGACGTCGTGGATTAATCGAATGGGATACGATTTTTCATTTTACGGGGGCCGAGAGAAAGGACACATTGGCGGAGTTTCGCGATTTGACGTGGTCGGACTGGAGGGAGAAGCGGGGACAGTGTGAGATGACGTCTTCCGGAAGAGTTATCTCCCGGCGAGTCGCTTCTCTCAGCATACGCTTCATTTCATCATTAGTCATTGCATCGTAGAGATATCTAGAACATCGATATCAGTGTGACATACACTCGATCCCGCATACTTAATCCTCTCATCATTAGGATCACGTAAGTGACAGATTCGTTTATCCTCTATTTTTTCATTCTTTGATCCTTCACGACAAACAGAGAGAGAAAGAAAGAGAGAGAAAGAGAAAGAGATGAAAACGGCACATATACATATATCTTGCACGTGTACATATATATATACACACACAACAGAGATTGATATTTCCTTGCATCGCGACGAGAACATTTAACATGCTTGCTGACCTTGCGTCAAATCGTAAGCGTCGTGAATTATATCGGGGCAAGCACTCGTCCGACATTTTCAGCGGCATTATTTCCCTGACATGTTAATTCATTCGCCAAATTGCACGGCGCGGAACCCGCGTCCCGCAATCGGTCACGCATAATGTGGATGCGCTCACTGAAAACTGCGGAAACTCATTATTGATATTCCATTCAAATCGCAATCACGCTCGCGCGCAACCATCGGTTACCAGAGTCTGTTCACTCTCGCCCCGTTTACATCTCCGCGCTCATCTCCACGCATCTCATCTGTGTGATTTTATTATAATAGCTCTTTGATTTTCTCAATCATTGGCACGACTGCATGGCATCTCGCTTTAGTTAAGGACGCTCGCATAATGACACCCCACTACGACGAGTATTCTCCCGTGATGCCCGTGATTGACCCTCGTCGTCGAGCGCGTGAGACGACTCCTCTCCGCGCCGCGGAAACCCCAGAATTCGCTCTCGGAATTTCGCGAATAATTACGAAGCTAGGGGCGCGCTGAACTGGACACACATCGCACTGAAACAATTTACTCAGCGGCTAACTGCATACTCTCGATATTCACAATATTATTACGAATACCAGGAAAATAATGCATTCGCGACTGAACTATAAATTGATTTGTTGCGAAGCGAAGATCCCTCCATCAAATCACGCGAGATTCCCAGCATGGATACGTTTAATACATTTGTGTTCGGTAAGAATAATGGTTCCTCCGTTTGATCCTCCACACGGGAGCGAATCTCAATCGTTCGGGCGGTCCTCGAGTTTTCAGAGCGACGAGGGTCAATAACAAAATCTCACGCTGTGAGCTATGAGCTCGACCTAACGTTAATCATTGTCCCTGCATCCTGTGGATCGTCGCAGACCTGCAGTCTTCTTTACTTGAAAAAGGTTCGGTATTTATACATATATATATATCTATACATATTATATACCTCTATATACATATAAATATACATATATCCATTTCTTTCTCTAAAAGAAATTCATTGTACATTGTTCTATCGCCATAGAACCCCTATTACGGTCGTCTGATAACGACACGCCGCGTCGCTGGATTCGGTTATAATTGCAGCGCGTTTTCACGAAGTCTCCCCGGCGCCGATCGAGATTCAAGTTCCCCCACGTGATTGTCGATTCCCGCACATCGTCCTCAATTCCAGCTACTTTCGCCATTGGGCAAAATTATTTTCACCCCTCCTTTCCTTACCATTAAGCCGGCGCAGGAGACTTTGAGAGAACGATCTTCGCGAGGGCACGCGAGTGAGCAATCGATCGTATCCAATTCTCAGTTCAATTATGGCATTATAATTACGCGACACATCATCATTTCTATATCTCCCTTATATCGCAGTGTTGTAATTTCCCTTATCGTCCTCGAAAGAATCTCGACTCGAAAGTTCGCAAGAGAATCGGCTGTCACGCGCCGTCACACGATCAATCTCTCCCTAGGAAGATCCTCCGACCGCGTCGGGGTGAAGTGTCTCGCGATCGATCGCAAACCAGTGCCCGCGTTCTCTCCTAGAAAAGTAATATAGGAAAACCATATCGGTGTCGCATTATCGACATCGCGATACGACGAAGCGTTCCCTTCACAAACGCTTCCTCGCTCGAGAGAAAGAGAGGCAGAGAGAGAGAGAGAGAGAGAGAGAGAGAGAGAGAGAGAGAGAGGCGAAATCCGATGATCTCAGCGAAACGAAGCGACGTGACGAGGCTGAGATAGAAGGAAAGAGAAGAAGGAAAATGTTCGATTAACGCGACTAATTGATCCACGCTTCGCTGAGATCCGAGTGATTTCGTCGCGGTGGATCTCGACCTCGATCGTGCAGACCTCGAAAGTGCGGACAAGCGATTGTACCTCGAACGAGAGAAGTCTGAATTGTACGGGATTGCTGCGGGATAGAGAATCAGTTGTTGAGAGTCTGTTGCCGAGCGCGAGGACGCTCGATCGTGCGCGATCGTACCGATCCGGAGAGGTCACTCGAATTCAGCGTCAGAGATCCGCTCTCGCCAGATAAAAGCAGGAGGGAAAGACTGATGGAGTACGAGCCTAAGCCTTGTAGCCGCGTTACTCGTAATTATAGAGAATGAGGACAGGCCGCGCGGAAACACCTCCTCCTTTGTACTTAGTCATCTACTTGTACACCTCGTTTCCGTCTTTATAGTCCAATCAGATTGCCAGACAATCTGCCGCGCTGAGAAGGGGGTGTCATGATCGCGCGGATGGGGTTTGTTGCAGTTCGCTTCGTCCCTCTTCGTTTCTTTCGTCTCGAAAGGAGCTGTTCATCGAAGCAAACAATCGTCACTTTTCTGTCGCTGATTTTTTATTTAAAGACAGTTCGGGAATCTCTCCTCCGTGTGACTCGCTGGTCATTTCTGGGCAGTAGAAAAGATCGGGATTATATGGCTGCAGGAATATGTTGCTCATGTGCTTTCTTTTAGTATTTATCTTGAGAAGAATAATGGATACAAAATCACAAAATGGTCTTTTTAAAACATAAATATCTGAGTTTTACTAAAATCGGAATAATATTACAATTAAGAAAAAGAATAATATTACAGTTAAGAAACAGGAAAAACTGATTTGATAATAGCAAAATAAATTTTTAAGCCTCTCGAAATTTTATATTAATATTTTCCATAAATTTTTTACTAAATAAAATTAAGCGATATGTTACTAGCTAGAATGAAATTTCTTATAAGTGTATGATATATTGTTTTTATTTATAAAATGATTGAAATAGAGCACATGGGCGGACGAGGTGAAGTTGGCTCATAGTTAAGGGCCGGCAGAAGGGCTGTGGTGATCTCTTGCAGAGATTCTGGAACTACTAATCAAGATACATATTTTATATGTGGCTTTCTTTATCCCGCGCTACTGGACAACTGAACCCGGTACCAGAGAAAGATGGCCACATTGCTACATGTTCGTGTTTTGCTTGTTGCAAAACAAAATATATAATAGGGTTAATAGGATCGTGGTAGTAATTAATACATAGAAGAAGATTTCTTCATTATGTTAGTCACAACAATTAGTTGTCTGAGAAGTTGTAACTTCGAACTTCTAAAATATAGGATCTAGCCCCGGTCTCTCTCATCACTTTTCTCCCCCTGAGTAAGAGAAATCAGGAGGAAATCGTTTCTCATTTAAGATCTCTATTTTCTCAAAACGCGTTACAGTCTCAAATATTTGTAATATTTTTTTCCCGCGAAGTAAGGAAAGCACAGAAATTGTTGACCGTTCGGCTTTTCCCAAAATGATCTGCGAATCACACGGAGAGTAACGACGCAGGTAAACCCATCATGGAGATGAATGACGAGTTGTTTGAAATTGTAGAATTGTTGTCGGAACTTTCTTCACGATCGCGAAGGATTTGCTGGGAATCTCTATTTAGGATTATTCCTTCGCATGTTGTGACAAGCGAGCGTGTTGAACAACGATGAAGAGACAAACAGCCTTTTACGAAACAAGAGCTCGAAAATCCGTCGATTATTCAGCGACGCCCATGCGCACCGCCTAGAACGGTCGCGATACGATCGCGCGTCGTCTTTTAATCCCGCGATTACACCCTATTCTCAGCGCCGACGTACACCGACGTACGCGCTATGCCACACTGTAAACACTGTATATAACGAGCATATATTAGCTAAACACGTGTCCTCCTCATGTATGTAACCAGAGTGTCCCGTGTCTTAAGATACACCCTCATAGCGAGTAGCGGTTAAAATTGCATTATGCAGCTCGAATTAATTACGTAGCAAAAAGGAAGGGGAAAGAAAGAAAAGAAAAGAACGTGCTATTATATAGCGGGCCATTATTATTTATGACTGCGAGGGGGTCGCGGCGCCCCGCGCCCGTCATAATCGATTGTGTAAATATAAACTGACGATTTCAATGTGGAAATTCAACGTGTGGATTCTTAATCGACCTTATTTCGTCCTTTACTAGTTGTCGTGGAGGAGCTCACAGGTATGCGCCATTAAGATACAGTCAAGTACGTACGCTATTCCCTTGTATCTGTGTTGTCTTTTTCCACCGATCCTGTTCACACACACCTACAAACACATACACACACATACCACACACATATATCGTTTAGATCGCCGCGATCGGCGCGAATCTCGCCGATCGTCGATGCTTGTTGCGAAGTGACGAAAGCGGAAACGACGAACACTCACTTGGTCGTAGCACGTGCTTCCTCCTTGCGTCGTATCTGCAATCACGCAACGATCACTCTGCTAATCCTGAGTCTCTTACTGCGAATCCTGTTCGCTGATGCTCCAATCCTAATCGAAGACACAGCAAACGTTATTATTGAGAAATTTAAATAGCGATATTTAACTTTTCTGTGATATATAAAACGCGAAATAAGAAGTAATATATATTATTCTTTCATATATAGAGTGACTTATCTTTAATGTTAAGTTTTACAATATCTCTGTCGGTTTTCATATCAGAAGAAAATGTACGAGGAATAAATTTGGTTGAGAGATATAAATGTTGCAATCAGTCAATCTTTCTGCATGGAGAGAATTTTATAATAAAAATTATTATAGAATTTTATTAGGCTTGTAATTTTGTTGAGGAATAGATCGATTTTAATCGACTTTTATTTCATACGTGCTATTTATATTTTACGAAATAAAATGAGCTATTAAAAAATTTGTTGTTTTTAGTGAAATTTACTATATTCTTTAACTAAATAGTCTTCACTCACAACCTATTCCTACACGGGGAAAAATAATTTTGCTCTTTTATCAAAATCGTCGTTGCTACTGCATACTCATAGTGACATCAAAAAAATGTAGTTGACGTAACTAATTTTACAAATGATTCGTTATCAGAGCAGAAGTAGTTTCGTTGCCAGGATAGAAAAAATTTGTTGGGTATATTTCTTCTAAGAATCACGTTAATTTGCTATTGACGCAAAATAATGTATCCTTAGCAAATTTATTTGCTATCAAAGCAAAATTGCAACTGCTTATATAAATCCATCATGGTTCTTATAGCAAAATAATTTGTAGATTCAGCAAATTATATCCAACAAATAGTGATTAATACTCTTAGCAATTCTTTTTGCTGTCCATATAATAACGAAAAAATTTTGCTAAATCAGCAGAAAATTTACTAGGCCAGCAAATTATTTTTCTCTGTACTAAAAACATAGTAAAACTGAAACGCATTTTGAAAAGAAAACTGTAATATTCTCTTCATGTAATCATACAATTTAGGAGAGACCGAGGCTATTTGACTACCGGAGTAAATTGGCATAATCAATTATTTTTACTGTTCTTTAATAGATTTTAGAATTAAGCAAGCAGAGATTTCGGAGCCACATGTTTAAAAATCTTGTTTGCTTATTTCTGAAACTTGTTAGGAAATATTATAAATAACCGGTTTTGCCAATTATCCTGGTAGCCAACTAATTAGCCCCGGTCTCCCGCACGTTTTTCTCTAATATAAAAAACAACAAAAATATTTCAGCATCTAACATTAAATGACACACTTTGTATAATCGGTACACATATAGAAGTTATATATTATATACATTTATATATATTAATAATATTTCTTTACGCTGAGAGTATACAAAATTAAATAATTAAACTTTAAACTTAGATAAGAGATTGAATTAGAAAAGATAATAGAATCTATGTTGACACTTCAAACGGCAACAATAACCGGAGGATCGCTATTTAAATTTCCGAGCACTCCTACGCTTGTCTCTCCCCTTGTAACTTCCAGCACAACGCGAAAGACGTCCAAGAACCGTCTGAAGAAACATCCCAACGTTTCTTAGACGTCCTCGGGGCTGGTCACTCGAATTTTCGCATTGCTCCCTAAACAAACTCTCTCTGCACTCGGGCATCCTCTCGATTGCTCATTTGCCCGTAGCTTCGACCTCACCGAGCCGGGAAGTCGAGATCCACCGCTTGAGATCCGTCGCACCTGATCGAGTCACCGATCATTAAGCGAGACCCGCGTGTTTTCCACAGGGATCCCTGAGCAGAGCGTTCGGTCTCCGGCCTAGAAGCGAGAAGGCATCGCCGTCGTCGTCCTCGGACACCGGCAGCCTCGCCAGCCAGTGCCAATACATGAGCAGCGTGCGTAGCAACTCACCGCCCCCGCCCCAGCTGCCGCCCCGGCCGATGACAGGCGGCAAAAGGCACCGTCGAGTCAAGAGCATCGGCGACATCGAGTACATAAGCACCGCGGCGGTGAGCACCCCGGTCTGACAAGAGGGTAGGCCCCATCATCCGGGGCCTTACCGCAGCTTGAGCGAGCGCGGCTACTCCTCGTACTCGTCGTCCCAGTACGGTTCCTATTCAGGCTACAGCAACGTCCTCGCGGGCGACCAGTATCAGTACCAGCAACAGCAGCAGTCCGGCAACTATTATCAACTGCAAGGTGGCTATTATTCTCCGCAGAGCTCTGGCCCGCCGTTCCCAGGCGTGCAGAGGTACGGCAGCCTGGCCGAGGAGACATGGTCGTGCACAACCAAGAGCGACTCGCCGGGTATCTCCAAGGCTAATCCCAGGACTTACTTGGCTTAGTTGGCGGCCGCGGCCGTGCCAAAGACTCGTCGAGCGAGTGTTTGGGTCTCGACGAGGCGCGTATTCGATTCTCGAGATAGATAGATCTTTGTTACCTTTAGCCTCTCGGCCCTCACTGCATGCGGATAATTGATAATAATGGCTGAGGAACAGATGAGAACAGCGTCAAGGAAATCGCGTCTCGCGCATTCGTCCGGACGCCGAATGTTGGATGAGAGTCTGCGCTTTGCACATCGCCGTGTTGATTGTACGCAGGTTGTTCACGACTCGAATGGAATAATTCCTGTGGTCGACGAGACATTGAGAGAATTATAATGCTAAATCTAATATCCTTTGACAGCTTCTGATGTTCCCCGTGTGTTAAGACGCAAGGGTGTTCGATCAAAGAGACCTGATCGAATTTATACACGGAGAGAATATTATAGTTTTTTTTTCATATAAATTCTTGCCGATTACATCTTCAGTAATGCAGGAATAAACCGTCAATAGAGTAAAAATATCGATTAAATTTTTCTCAATTTAATAATTTGAACAAATATGTATCAATTTGGATAACTGACGATTAATTCGAGCAAAATCAACTGAAGAATGTTTAATTAACGAATGAATTCAATTGAAAACTGTCCAATTAGTCGCGGTTACGCAAGAATAATCCAACCTATATGAAATATGTTTCGAAAAAAATAAAGATAAAATTTGGCACATGATTTGAAAAGTGTAGATAGCATTGAAGTTCTTCGCAATCATTTAAGAAGTCAAATATGCTCAATTTTCTTCTCTTTAAGGATATTCATTGACAAGCTTAACTCTTAAAAATATAAATAACGTAACTATTACAATATAAAAGACGTAACTATTAAAAAGCAAAAGGTATTTTTTAATTAATTTTATAAGGTATTATAATTAATTTTTTAAGATATTTATAAGGTTTAGATCTTTTATATCTTTAGAAAAGATGTGGACTATCTATTTGTAACAAAAACTCAAAAGTCAAGGTTCATATTTTCATTTAAAAAGTCTTCATTCAAAAATCATTCCTGCATAACAATGGTCAGTTGTCGACTGATATGAGCGAAGGAAATGAAAGACAACTCAATTAATAATTGATCTTAGCAAATTTAACTAAAAGCCATTCAATGGACAGTTGAACTTAGCAAATTTAATTAAACGAGCTTTAATTACATTTTCTAAGTTCAATTATTGATTGAACTATCTTTAATTGGCTTCGCTCATATTAATTATCAATTATCATATTAATCTTAATTGAATTTATTGAAATCCATCGCTAATCGAACGATCTTCGATTGAATTTGTTGAAATCAATTAAACAATCTCCAATTAAATTGGCTTATATTAATCGTTAATTAAATATAAAAATTAATTTAACAATTAATTAATTAATCGCAACCCTATTAAACTATTAAAAGGTCTATATCGTTAAAAGTACGTAAATTTTGTTAGAAACATAGCAGGTTTATCAATTTTAAGTAACATTTTAGTTTCTAAAATATAAATGACACATTTGGGATGAAAAGATAGTTAATTGCTGCAGAATGTCAATCTATTCCTCGGCTACAAAATTCCTTAGTAATTTTTACTATAAAATTCTCTCCGCGTGTAGGCAATATAGCGAAACGATCGATGATCTGGACACCCCGCGATGTAATCATTACTGTTACGACGAGCCCTAGAGGCTGGCAGATACTAATTTCGTTATGTGACAACTGTAATAGACAATACCTTTCAGCCGCGCGACGGACTTGCGAAAGTAAACGCCTCGATTGCACTCCTTAATAAGAGAGATATGACTAATAGCGTGAGACACGAGGTCAAGTTCCGACGAGCGAGTAAATGTCGATCTGTGTCACAATTATTCTTAAGAGTTACGCTCGATTACAAATTAATTCTACGTCGTACAAATATTAAGCAGCATATCGTGATGTTAATAAGGGAGGAACGATTGACAGGAGGAGGCTGACCAAATTTCATTAGCACACATCGAGCTTACGCCGTAAACTCGCCGACAACTCATCCGACGGTGGTATAATAGAACAGAGGATTGTAATAACGATTACGCGGGGCAGACAGGACCTATCTAGAAAGGGAAAGAAGTAGAGGAGGGTAAATAATCGAAGGGGGAAAAAGTTCAAGCGAGCTGGCGATGAGAATACTTCCTGGTGATGAGAACTCCTCATGGTGGTGGTGTTCAATCTATACGTTTACCATCACGGTGACAATATCCTGTAAACGCGGTTCGCCGGAATCAGTCTTTCTTACCGACGAAAAGCCCCGTGTTTACCGAGAAAGAGAGAAAGAGAGAAAAGAAGAGATACATTAAGTTAGATTAATGAATAAAATCCATTCTTATCTGTAAGCTACGGAGCACACGCGAGATCGCGTCGTGGGCGTCGTTCGCGAGAATATTTTCGCTTAAGAATGAATCGACGAACGCACGCACGCACGCACGCACGCACGTACGCACGCACACACGCACGCACGCGCGATCGATCGAATTTAAGTGCCAGGAAACCGCGCTCGGCCGCAATTCGGCGCGCTGTCGGGGCACACGTGCTCGTCCGCGGCTCGTTGTAATCGTTAATAATAACTAATACGTACAATCTCCTCCCCAGTGTTCGTGTATTACGCTCTCGCGCGGTCGCAAGGCGATATTTTGTAGATAACGCGCATTTAACGCGATATTTATTATTGGTAGGGACCGTCATTATTTCGCGACACTCGTGAGAAAGTGTCGTCGCGGCCGATCGGATTATGATTCCATTCAGATTCCCATGCGATCCAGGACCACGGGACGACGCGTTCGCGCGTCCCCCATTGCCGAACTTTGATTAGTATTACCGCCGTTTCGCGAGTCGGCAAACGGCGAATTAATACGCCAGCTCTCTACCTACTGTGCGTACCTAAGTAATTTATTTATATAAATTAGTTTAGGTCTTAATATATTTATTTATACACACCAGATATACTGTATATCGCGACGCGCGCGCGCGCGGCCAATCCCCCATTGAGCTTGTTGTGCGCGACAGATCCTGAGCGTTTCGCTGATGTATATCGTTGCGAGGTGGCGACCACAAGGTTTCAATACGAATTGTAAATGTGCTCAGTAACGTCTGTATATATTTGTGTGTGAACTGTATCGAAAATATTTGGGAAAAGATTAAATAAACCATCGCCTCTTTACATCCGTCGTTGCTACAATTGCCGAGAGCGTGTAACGATATCGGTGTCGTTTGGATAAAATCTTATCATTTTGTCTGAAGATTTAAAACTGCGCACTTGCACTACACTATGACTATAACTATTATATATACACTATAACTATTATAAATATTAATAGGAACGGGATTACTCGGAATGTGATTCCATGATGTAACTAGCTCTCTTTATCCGCTGGAGTCTCCCAAATCGAATCTTGTTGCGCTTGAAAATACAGCGCCATAAGCTCCACGATGATTCACGAAGTCAGGATTCAACTGAAACGGAAATTAGGTTGCGTAGTAATTAATAATTGCGCATAATGAAGGGAATGCCATACTTAAAAAACTTAAGGAAAAAATAAATTACCTTTAAGAGTTCTAAAAGATATGAAATAACTTTGAATCCATATTTCTATATGGATATTTCTATAATTTTATTATATTTCTCATATTTCTATAATTTTATTCTAACATTCTAACATTTTATTATATTTATCATATTTCTATAATTTTATTCTAACATTCTAACATTCTAAAATTCTATCTAACGATATTAAAAGAAGATTGCAGAGCTTACAAGTCATATACGTACTGTAAACATTAAAGAAAAGTGTCAGTATTTTGTCGGTAAAGTTTTTAATCGACTTAAAAACAGAAGTTCTCAATTTGTCTTGTATATATGTTTAGTTATACTGATATTTTTCTGCAAAGCTTGTGTCTCATAAATACCAGTCATCGTTAAAGTTACATGGCATCCTCTTGATCATTATATATTATATTGGTTGCATAGAATTACAAAAAGAAATACTTTTACAAGATGAAAGTACGTTCAAAAATGAATTGGAGTATTCTTCAACATATGACGATCGTCGTGTTTGCGTTATCGACATTTCTGGAGTTTGTCATCCATTTTAGCATCCCCTTAAAATCTCTCAATGCTTAAATACTTACCGTTAGATTGAAGCTACAGAATTATTTCTCGCTACTTTCACTGGCATTTTTTCATTAATGTCGCGAACGTTTGGTGTCCCGTCCCTTGTAGAATGTTTCTTCGGTTTTGCAGAACTTCTGCCCTCAGATTGAACAGTATTTTCCTTATCAGTGGATATCTGGATAAATGGATTTTTAATAATATTCATTAAAGTCAAAATTAAGTCACGCGGACATGTAAGATACGAAACATGTAAGGAACTCACCATTTTTTTTCTCCTACTAATCTTAGGAGTATTGATGATGCTAATGGATCTATTCCTAAGTATTTTTATGCTCGTCTCCTGATTCTTTAACATGTCCGTCCTATCTAACGTGAACTTTTCAGACGAGAAGTTTCTGGCGGTGTGCGGCGTAGAGAAAATATTCTCGTTCTCTATAGATTGAGTTGCACAAGGAGTTTCGGCATTCTCACACGTGGTCTGACTCTTCACGCTCCTCACGAGTGATTTCTCGCTCGAATCCCTGCGAGATCTATTGGAAATGTGTCCCGACAAGCTAACGTCTTTGAAGTCGTGCAGGGACAACGCGGAAGTGTCGTTCTTCCCTTCAGCTCTCACCGTCTCGTTCAAGGGTGGATACCACTTAAGGGTAGAATCTCCTTCGGACGGACTGTAATAACTCGACTGCTCTTCAGTGCGAATGCGCTCGACCGAATGTGGCTTGCTGACGTTGGCATTGTCCACTTTCTTCAACGAACTTCCCACGTCTCGCTCGGTCTCGAACTCTCCACTAATGTTCGCCAATTCCTCGTCAGATAATGCCTTCGAAATCAAGCTGTCGTCCCGCCGAAATCTAGGAGTCGATCTTATACTCATACTCTTCCTTGAGTCGTCAGATTTCATAATTGTATCCAATCTAGGTGTTAGACTGATGACCTTACGTTGCACAGTACCTTCCAACTTGGGCGTGTACTTATTGTACAGTTGGTTTATCTTCATCGTTATGAGCGGAGTGCTGAGTCGGTGAAATGATCTCATGTTGATGCTGTTGTGCGTCGGTGTCGAAGTGTACATGCTCTTCGAATACTTGCCGGGGATCCTTTCGCTTTGCGACCCACCGAATTTTTTCTTGGGTGCTTTGGGCTTCCTGTTGTTCATCGAAGGCGTGATGCACTTGTCGAGCGTATCTGAAATCAGCCACGAGCTCGCGGTTTCCATAGTCTTCCTTTCTTGCAACTCCCTTACTTTCTTCTTCCTTTTCTCGATCAAGATAAAGTCACGGAGCAAACTCTGCTTTCTCTGCACGACTCCTTTTTTTGCGAGCTTCCTCCTCTTCTTTGCGACGGATTTCAAGCGGGACGGTTCCATTTCATCCTCTTGCCAGTTACTGGCTCGAAGTTTCTCCAGTTTTGCGAATCGTGAGACGCAGTCTTTTACTGCTATATACATTAGGTCCCAAAATCCGTGTAGATCCGCGCAGCTGACCGGGAAAACGCTGCCACCCTTCTCGCAATCCAGCACCAGGCCGCGAAATTGTTGGAATTTCTCTTTTAGCAGCAAGCTCGTCTGCCCGATCGCCTGACCGATGAGGCACCGGGCTTCCTCTACGGTGTCGTCCTGCGACTGAACCTCTGTCCACTCCTCGCAAAGTTTCTGGAGCCTCTCTGTTTCCGTGTACAGCAAATATTTGAAGTGCTGCACAGTATACTCCTCTTCTTCCCTCGAGACGTTCGAACATTTCATCTCAGCCTCTTTCGATCTTGAAAGCTTATCCGACCGCGAAGATTGCTGAATCTCTAAACTACTCTTTTTTTCCTCGATTTGAACATTGTTTTCAGTGTTACTAAATACGAGAATTATCTCCTTCACGCTGTCTTTCTTTTTCTCCGTTGTACTTGAAGAAATCTCCGACGACTGCTTCGCATCACTCGTTTCGCACAACGTTGATTTCTCCCCCTGACTCGATCGCTCCTCCTGCGAGCAGTCCGAGACCTCTCGCTCGTCCGACGACACCTGCAACTTAATCGCTTCAATGGTATCCGAAGCGACGTCCTCATTGAAGCTCTCCGTTGCCTCGTTCTGCCCGCAGAAATCGTTTTCGAGATTCAAATTGTCTTCTATCAGTACTTTTCCAAATAAAGGCACTAGGGTGGGTGGTTTGAATTTGTGATTAGATGGAGCGAACGATTTATCATTTTTAACGCTGACCTTAATCTTATCATCTTTTAACTTCTGAAAACTTTCAGTTTTCAGAACCGCAGATGGTGATTTTGTAACGTTCGCGGCTTTTTGAGTCAGACGCTTTTGCGTGGCCTTCGTGATTCCCATCTTAACTACAGGTTTTGTATATGCTTGTACTTTCTTTTTCATGTTCGCGACTGCCGTGTTGATGGATGAAATCGGAGAATAAACACGATGATGAACAATCCCGACCTTAAACGGCGGTCTCTTCTGCAATTTCTCCTGACTCTTTTCCTTCTCTCGCTTTGCTTTCCACTCTGATAATTTCTTCTGATTTTCTAGAATATTGAGTAGAGGAAAATCTCTCTCTCTCTCAAGAGAGAGGAGAGTAGTCGGCTCTCTATCTATTTTCTGCACTTTTGCGTGGATTATCAAGTATTAAGGTGTATAGAGATTAAAAGAAATAAATAAATGATGAATAATTATTGATAAATAATTAATAAATCCCCATATACCTTAATATTTGATGAAACCCGAGCAAGAGTGTCGGCTACTAAGCATTTTTCTTTATATCATCCTTTGTAGAATCGAAAAATCTTTCTTATATGTGAATCAATTAATTTTTATCTATTCAAGAAATTTAATTGTATTCTTAGCGAAATCTTAAGTTCTGACTTCAGAAAGATTCTTTGAGAGAAAAATATTCGAATAATAAAGAAAAAAGAGTTTAGTTGCAAGGTGCTACGTCCTATGCAATTCCATATTCTAAGAGAAAACTTTTGCCGAAAAAATATTTCTTCTCGTTAGAAGAGGAATGATATTGTGCTTGGAATATTTTTCTCAAAAAAATATTCTAAGAATATTCTTGAAACAATATATAGATCCTACTAAGAATAAAATTATATTTTTTGGGGTGTTAAAAGGATGCTGAAGTCGTTGACGAATTCTAAAAATGTCGGTAACGTATAAACGATCTCACTAACCCAATCACGCTATTTTTTTGTACAAAGAAAAATCAGATAGTCTTTCCACGTATAAATTTTACATAAATATAACGTATGTTACTTTGTTTTACTATATTCAGCGAAAAATCTAACCACATATACAGTAATCTTCCCACACAAATGCCTAAAATCGGGACATAAGACGTCTCTTAGACGTCTTATGTCCCGACTTTAAACGTTATGTTGTGTGGGTTTCTGCAAATTTTTCCCATATTTTTAAGTTTCTAGATCCAGATGTAATGATACGGTAGAGTTCTTTCAAATTTTGTGGTCGATCGCACAACTGCCCACTTTTTTCGATATATTCGAGAATTATTAATAAACGAATTTTCCCGCTGGATATTGTTTGCATTTCGAAATACATTGAACTAAAATGTGTTTAAGTCGTTTCTTGCAAGAAAATGAATAACTACAAATTAATTTATTCGATGGGCTGTTAAGAAATCTATTCTGTTAAGAAATTCCACATCGAAATCGATCACATCTATTTGTCGCAAATGCAATAGTCTCGTGCCCTCTTTTTAACATAGAACACGCACAAATAAAGTGTCAATGTGTAAACATGAGAAAAACGTGTGTCGTCTCGAGGTAAATAGAATCTGCACGACTTTCGAATTTTATCGAGATCGTCTACCAATAAAGTTTTAACGCGTCTTCCGGGCAAAGTTGGAAACGTTACTTAAAAAAAATAACGCGTTACCATTACCGTTACTAAGAAAGTAATGTTTTCTTCGTTACTTTCTTATGATACTAAGATAAAATATATAATTGAACTTAAAATGAAATTATTGTTTTTAAGCTTAAATTATTATTTTCAGTACAGCAAGTTCATCTAAAAAAAATATATATTTTACATAAAAAATAAGATAAAATCTATTGTTTTGCAGCGAACATCGGGATATTTCTATCCAATTAAGAATATCTAATATACGCTAACAATGCGCGATCAGCACATAATTTATTGAATAAAGGTAACTAACGATAAAAATAACGATAAAAGTAACGGTAGGATTCGCTATCATTATTGTAAAAATGTAACGACATTACCGTTACCGGTATAGATAGAAAAAGTAACGATCGTTATTGAAAAAAATAACGATAACATTACAAGTATACGTAACACGTTACTTCCCAACTCTGCTTCCAAGAATAATCTCGAAAACTTACCGTTTTGCGATAATATCGACGAGCTATGGTCCTTAATTTCGCGGTTTGTCTCAAGCTGCTGCGACCTGTGTTTTTTACGCCCGTCTTGCACTTCGCGAGTAGTGTTGGCTCTAATCTTGCTCGTGTTACCGAAACCCAACGCCGGTTTCTTGTATAATCCCTTAGTGTCCAACGTTTTTTCAGCATTCCTTGGCAATTTCTTCGATTTGCCCGACATTTTCGATACACTCTCGAACGTAATCAAACGCAAGAACTCGCGGTTGACTAAAGCGCGTTTGATCTACCTATTCAGAAGACTGGCGATAGACGGACAGCGTCTTCGAACTGTATTTCAAACTGACGCCGAGTCTACAATGCTACCAATCGAAATTTTCTCTCTGAGATACTAGGACTAGCCTGAAAGCGTGGCATCAATCATGAATCTTTTCCCCTAGTGTGACTCGTGAAAAGTGAAAAATCTAATCTGGAAAATATATGGAAATCTTAACTTTTCTTGAGATTATTTTGAAGGAAAGATTCATGGGATCGTATCTCCAAGTACTAAACAATTATTCATTTTTCATGATTTTATATTAAGAAAAAAAGTTATATGTAAGATCAAGTTCAACGTGAAATATTTATCATTGATATCCAGTATATTAATCATATATTTTTTCCCCTGATATGAATTATTGAATAGTAAAAATTTTCACCACACATTTCTATTACTTGAGAAATTATACCATTGCTAAAGTCGTCGAGTTCACGCTAGGGGAAAAGAAACAGATCGATATTCTGGAACTGCAGTTTCGCGATACTAAAGATGGTTTTCTGAACGCGTATTTAGCATTAAGGCTTGTTTACATCGGCAATAATATTTCTAATTACGTGTATTCCTACTAGTGTTACGGACAAATATAGATTGTCTCGTTTAAAATAGCCGAAAATAATCAATCGTCAACAACTTATAAAACAAGTTAATCTACATTTTGCTATTTTAAAATTGCTATTATTATTGCTATTTTTATTCCATCTAATATTTTATACCAGCAAACGCTTTTGCGTTTTCATTTTTTCAAAATGTTTTAATGCGTACTTATTTTATTTTATATAAAGTAATTTTCGTTATTTTATATAACGACATTATATAAAATATAAACATTTTCGTTATTTTATATAACGACAAAGGCGAACAAAGTTACATCATCAATATTATTTAGTACAGTTTTCAATAGTATTCTAATTACAAACAAAGAAGGTTGGTATTTTTGTACCTCCAGATTCGACCAATCGATCTCGTGTACTGTCCAAAGGTCGCTCCGCTATTGGCTGCTAGCTGCTGTCACGTTCCACAGAAACGTGCGCTTAAATTACTGCGCGCAACGCTCGTTACGCAACTCGCTGCAAAAGGAACTATAAGAGGAATTCTCAAAGGCATCAGAATCTCTTTAACGAGAGAAACAACTAAAATAATCAATTAAAATCTAGAAGACACACGAACAATTATGTCGGCACATGAGCAATTTTAACGTCCGTGGTACCATAGAGCTCTGCCACAGACAAATATTTCGTTCTTCCCTTTGTTCCTAACCTCTCGCTCGACCCTACAATCGATATCTCGCCGCTTGCATCAGAACCGGGGTCGCCAGCTAGGTCAAATCTCATTCACCGTCGAACGGTCCAAGCGGATTGTCGCGCGCGTCACGTCAGGTGAGCATGGCCGCAACAATAGCCAGTATATCTGTGAAAAATCGCCATTCTTCCTTGCAAATCCGCGTCGCGTCATCGTGGAATCTGCGCGAATCGTGCGAACGCGCGTTCTTTTCACGCGTATTCGAGTTCTCAACAGAAATGCTGGTGTTACGTGCCGGTTGTAACGTCCTGCTCCAAAAGCAAGTTAAAAGGTCCTTAAGGATCATGAGAGAGGGGGGGAGGTCGTGCAAACTGTGTGATCTCTCGAGACAAAATTGTATCCAAAATTTGTATCGATACAAAGTGATTGTCGCTTTTGTCAGATCACACGGGCGGTTCCTACGATGACTTTGACAAGGTCGACGCGAAGGTCAACGCAGAGATCATCCGCCTAGATCGCCGGCATTTACAGTTTATTCCGTTGATATTGCAATATGACTTCTCTTGAATGTCCTTTGCGTGAGATTCAGTCGAGCATGACAGCTTCTTGAGCTCAGTTGCGTGTCTAATTTTGTCTTATAATAACGAGAAGCTTGATACGCGGGTGTCATATCGCACATCGCGAATTCGTCATTCAGCGCGTAACAAGATGTAGGAATAAAGGTAGATGCGTGTTTTTGCTTCAATTGATCACGCTGCTTGCAGCTTCCCAGTCACCGCGAGATACTTTGCATCAACAGGCGTCAAGATGCCTATTCAAAGCATCAAAGCTCGTCAGATCTACGACTCTCGTGGAAATCCCACGATAGAGGTAGCGTATATTATCTAACTATTCGCGGAGAAAAATTATTTGATTGAATTAAGTGTCAATGAACGAACCAAATATCTTTTGCTCGAAAGAAACACGACTTCTGCTTCTTGTGACTAAATTCGACTCTGAAAACTAGAAATTCTATTTCCTTCAAAATACGGTTAGTTTATTCACTGTTGTATTAATTTAACCAATCCTTTTTCTCCGTGTGTTTTTTCGTAGTTAATTTTTCTCTAGGAGTAGAATTTAGAAAATTCAGTTTCTTGGAATGAAATTCAGAAAGTAACACGCCGAGTCACTCAAATTCGAGTTCACTGCTGTACATTGAATGCTCCACTCTGAATTGTTGAGTGAATATTTTCACTCGACACTGAAGAGTGAATTTGATGCACTAAGAAAAGATACTTGACTCATTTAAAACACTCACTTTTATTTGCAGTAGCAATATTTTCTCATTGCCGCTTTGAATAAAAATATTGTCACTTTTCACTCATTTTGAGCAATTCCATTCGTTCAAAAAATTTGGGGAGTAGAGTATTATATAATCATACTTTAGAGAAATGTGGATACACGAAGATCTCTCTAACAATATTATCTTTTTCAGGTCGACATCGTCAATGAACTGGGTCTCTTCCGTGCTGCTGTGCCATCGGGCGCGTCCACCGGAGTTCACGAGGCCTTGGAACTGAGGGATAATGATAAATCGAAATATCATGGCAAATCTGTCTTCAAAGCCGTAGAGAATGTCAACTCTATTATCGCTCCTGCGTTATTGAAGGTATCACTTTCTAATTGGATAATATGAGCTTGGATTACACAACATGCGACTCTTTACGGCAACTAGAAGACACACTGACCCATGACTTTCCATTCCATAGTCAAATCTAGAAGTTACGCAACAAACGGAAATTGATAACCTCATGCTGCAATTAGACGGTACACCAAACAAGTCCAAGTTGGGAGCTAACGCAATCCTGGGTGTCTCCTTGGCGATCTGCAAGGCTGGTGCTAAGAAGAAGGGCATGTCTCTCTTCAAGTAAGCATACCGTGTTAGTAATCGAATCACGAGCTTAACTTTTCGCGCGCTTCGTCACGTTGACTGGAAATTCGTGTGTTACAGCTACATCGCCGAGTTGGCTGGCAACAACGAAATCATCCTGCCGGTGCCAGCGTTCAATGTGATCAACGGTGGGTCCCATGCCGGTAATAAACTAGCCATGCAGGAGTTCATGATTTTACCCACCGGTGCGAGTAACTTCACAGAAGCTATGAAAATGGGTAGCGAGGTCTACCATCACTTGAAGGCGGGTATTAAGAAGAAGTTCGGTCTCGACGCCACGGCTGTAGGTGATGAGGGTGGATTTGCGCCGAACATCTTGGAGAACAAAGAAGCCCTCAACTTGATCATGGATGCTATCAAGGTAGGTGGAAATATTTAAGATTGAAGTGCATCTTAGCACTGCCATTTCACGGCGATTACTGGTTTGAGATAACTTGAGGGTGGATTTGCAGACCGCCGGCTACGAAGGGAAGATCAAGATCGGCATGGACGTCGCTGCGTCCGAGTTCTACAAAAATGGAAAGTACGACTTGGACTTTAAGAACGAGAAGTCCGACCCGAGCACATATTTGGAGCCTGAAGCGTTGAAGAACCTGTATCTGGAATTCGTCAAGGATTTCCCAATCGTGTCGATCGAGGACCCCTTCGATCAGGACGGCTGGGACTCCTGGACCTCGATGACCGCGTCGACCCCTATTCAAATCGTGGGTGACGACCTCACAGTCACTAATCCTGAGAGGTAATGTTTGAATTTGACATTACTGCACTTTACGAAGCTTTAGGCTTGCCTTAGTCAATTTTCATGTTATACTATTACTATATACCTACTATATTATAATTTACTATAATATCTACTATAATATAATGTTGTACTATTACTATATCTATTATAAAGGTTATATTACTGGGTTCACGTGCAAAAGATCAGACATTTTCCTATTGAATTTTAAAGACTATTACGCGTAGAAAAGTTTTAACTGTAAACGAAAGGTCGTAAGAAAACTGACCAATTATAGTCGATTATTCCTAGTCCACTGGAAGAATAATCGACTCTGATTGATCAATTTTCTTATGACCTTACAGTTACGGTTAAAACTTTTTTACGTGCCGTAACATATTAAGTTATTGATTTAGATATTAAATAGAAGACTTCGTTAAAAAACAGGAAGACTTCGTTCTGAAGAAAACCAAGCCCTTTGCTTATCGTACTCGTAAAAATTATTCTAGATAGCAGGAACTTCTAAAAAACGTTTTTTATCTTAACGATATATGTTTGATTTTAAAATTTTATATTTTCCTAAAAATGTCTTTCAGACGTTTTTATAAGAATATTACAATTTTTTAAATATATCTTTAAGATAAAAATATGACGCGTCTTTTAGAAAAAGTATCTTGAAATATTTTTTTAATGTCTTTCAGACGTCTTTAAAAAATACTAGTAGTAATTAGTCTATTATTGCAAATATGAAATCATTTTTATTCTCTTAATTGTTTTCTTACTTGTCTACCTGCCTTAATAATTTTAATTATTTTTTTTACAGAGAGAAAATAAAAGTAATACTAATTACAAACGTTACCTATAAATAATATATAAATTGTCATATAATAATATATAAAAATGTCCCTTGAAATTTTCGTTAGCATAGCAAACACATGTACAGTACAAATTGCAAGACTTGTGTGTAAATATTTACGCTGACAGCTGGAAATGTCAATCTTCAAATTTTTTATTGTTTTCGTCATATATTGAACAATGCTTCAATTTATTATCGCATATACTTTCAGTGTGTAAAAGCATTTGCAATTCTGGGCGACCAATATAACGTAAACTTTGTAGAAAAGAGTCAGTATCTTGTCGGTAAAGTTTTCAAGTGTGTCATTCTCTTAAGGGATGCTCCCTTAAAGTCTTGCTATATTTTAAAATTATCTTGACATTCTTTGTTGAAAATGACTTTTACTTGGAGAAGGAGGAAAATAAATTGAATAATCATATATAAATTGTTTTTGGAAATGTAGATGGAAATGTCTTAAATTAGCAATCTAGGATCAAGATGTCCTGTATAGAAGTTGTGTTATCGGAATTAATACCTTAAAACTAGACGATCTCGTTTTCAATTTTATCTGATAAATAAGATAAAGCCTTTTAACACAAACCAAATGTAACCCATTATACTTTCGTGTTTCAGGATCAAGACAGCCATCGAGAAGAAGGCCTGCAACTGCCTGCTGCTGAAGGTCAATCAAATCGGCAGCGTGACCGAGTCCATCAATGCCCACAAACTCGCAAAGAGCAACGGCTGGGGCACCATGGTCTCCCATCGTTCCGGAGAAACGGAGGACACGTTCATTGCTGATCTGGTGGTCGGTCTCTCGACTGGCCAGATCAAAACAGGCGCGCCATGCCGCTCAGAGCGACTGTGCAAATACAACCAGATCCTGCGTATCGAGGAGGAGCTGGGCGCCGCTGCGAAATACGCCGGCGAGAAATTCCGCAACCCTCACGCTTAAATTAGACTTGCGTTATAACATATCCGTTGTCGCAGTTCATTGTTGCGGACTGAGTCCCGGCTATCTATAAAATGTAACATTAAATCGTGTATATTTTATGACCGTTTACGACCAACGTTAAGCGCGGCGTAGTCCGAGAGTAGAACGAGAGGTTCGTACCGTTTAGCGACGATAAATCGATAGCGTATCATACACAATGATACGCTATCATACGCTAAACATGGCAGAATTATCGCAATTATCTGCAGAACGGAAAAAAATAGATGTATCGAAAAGAAATACTTTGAAATAATGTTGAAACATGACGCTATATAGTAACATTATATAGTTACGTATATAATATATGAAAAAAAAGATAAAAAAGAGGAAAGAGTAAACGAACGAAAAAGTAATAAATCTCATCCCAGAGACAGACCGTGTATGTGTTCGGTGTCGCATGTGAGAGAGCCGACGGTAATATGTCATGTCGGCAATATGTCATTTCGTAAAAAAAAGTCATCTGTAAAAGTAAATTAATAAATTAAAATGAGAAAGAAGGTCAGAGATGATGCGTGCAGGATATTCGTCTCGACCCCGATGTAAATGTCCCATTTCACGTTATCTTCAGCAGGTGCCAAAATGGTTGACGAAATCCAAGAATGTCAAATATCAAAAATGTCAACAGAGATGATCAGAATGACATGTCAGATGAGCACTAATATAATCACGCTATATTTTTCGTATTTCTTGTATATGTAGGAGGTCCATACTCTGAATTCTCTTTCGCTACACAAAGAAAAATATTTTACTACTAAGAAAAGTGATTATTCAACTTATTTTCCTCCTTCTCGAAGTAAAGGTCATTTTCAACAAAGAATGTTTTCTTCAAGATAATTTTAAAATATAGCAAGGGAGGACCTTAAGGGAGCATCCTTCAAGGGAATGCCACACTTGGAAACTTTACCGATAAGATACTGACTTTTTTCTAAAAAGTTTACATTATATTGGTCGCACAGAATTGCAAAAGCTTTTACACACTGAAAGTATATGCGATAATAAATTGAAGCATTGTTCAATATGTGACGAAAACAATAAAAAATTTTAAGATTGACATTTCAAGCTATCAGCGTAAATATTTACATACAAGTCTTGCAATTTGTACGTACCGTACATGTGTTTACTATTCTAACGAAAATTTCAAGGGACATTTTTATAACTTTACAAGTGAATTTAGAAGCTCAAAAGTATACAAAAAATTTGCAGAAAGCGGCATACAATATAATAAGATCTATGTGTATTCGTGGCCAAGTTGGACAAAATGGATAGGTTCAGAAACTTACAAAAAAAAAGTTAGATCTTTCCGAACATGAGTACAAGGAATACAAAAAGGGTAGTAAAATCATGTTAGAGACGGTCGATCGTCTTTATGTTATCGACATTTTTAGAATTCGCCGTCCACTTCAACATCCTTTTAAATTACTATCTTATTGGGAAAACACAACAGTTGACCTCAATTATTCTCGGAAATTCTGTTTTATTTGAACATGAATCACACAAAATTGCCACGCGCACATGTGGCATATGCGCGACGACTTATTGAGTTTGTTCACTTGTGTAACGCATGTTACAGGAAGATACCTTATACAAAATAGTAATACAAAAACATCATTACTTGCGAAATCAATTCTGATCTCCGTGTAAAAATATCTAATTACAAGTCTAGTTGTCGCGATTGTATAAATTACACCTAACGCAAGTTACATTTTGTACTTATTTACACGCGTTTACAGAGATAAAACGTTCGAACGTTATTCAAACGAGATGGTGTTTTTTCTACTGGTCTTCTCCCTCGTCACCCACAGCAGATTACTTTGCTGCAAAGACACAGTCAAATTGAAAGTACTGTAGCCTATCAAAGCTAGTCCATAATACGTGGAGTAAGCTTGGCGTAAGTTGAAGAGATAAGAATAATTTATTTCGCTCACGCTTATACTAGGTTCCTTACACCGGAAATATTTCTCTTAAGTGAGAAATAAGTACTCCTCTTAAGTAAGAGAAATACTTCCGGTGTAAGGGAGCTGGAGTATAGGCATGGGGAGCGACATAAATTATTTTTATTTCTTATTTCAACTTACACCAAGCGCTTACTCCATACTCTAGACGAGCCTTCACTTCGACGTGAGCTCACTTCGCTGCTCGAGCAAATCTCCTCACCTTGAAGTAATCCTCGATCTCCTCCAACGTATAGCTCTTCGTTTCCGGTAGAGCGAGGTAAAGGAAAAGGGCCGCTAACAGAGAGGAGATGCCGAAAATAGTGAAGATTCCGATCACGCCAATCGCGTTGTTCATCTGAAAAAGGGATTCGATTCACACATCGACAAAGCGAGAGCCATGTAAACGTTCCCAGACGCTACGCGCGATCGCGTTCGATCGCCGACGACGAGGAAGGAGAATAAATATTCTCTTGTCATAAAACTTTGATTCCCCACAACTAGGGTAGAGAGAACCAACCCGATGGACTCTCGAGTCCGGGGGCGTTGGCTTACCGCTGGGAAAAACTTGGTGATTATGAACAAGGACATGTTGAAGACGAAGAAGGTGCATCCGCCGCCGATGCCGCGCGCCCGCATTGGTATCAGCTCGCCGGTCATCACCGCCGGAAGCGTCACCAGACCCAACGTGTTCGCGGCCACGTAGATCAGTAAGAGCACGGACAGCAAGTAAGACTGAAATCAATCGTTCGTCGGGATTCAGTCACCTGTTCCTGAGCCTCCACTGCTGCGAAGGCTGCTAGGAGTTGAAATAAAGCTTCGCTAACTGGAAAACAATATTCTTCCACCGAGCCGGGGTACTCACATCCACGGAAGAGCCTTCTTGCTTAGCGAACATGTATCCTGCGAGCGCCAAGGAAGTCACAGCCGTGCCGAGCGCTGAGGTGATACTTACGATTCGCCTGCCTGTTCGGAGGAACATAAGGCAAGAGACGATGGAGAAGACAAATCTGACGACAGCCGTCACCACCGCCGCCATGTAGTGGTTCACGCTGCCGCCGCCTACAAGAAGGAACACGGTAGGCTCCCTTGCACGAGTGTCCTCACACCGTTTACGACCGCTTTAACCATCCTGCGCGATAACCCGAGTCGAAGTAACGTTTTCTTTCATAACTTAATAATCAGATATCAACGTGAGCCAAAGTGGAAATTAAAGCTTGATAACTGTACTTTCCATTAATTAATTACACTAATGGTAAGAATAATTTTTTGCAAAGTGCGCTTATCTGAACATTGTAAATAAAGGTAATTTGTTTGAAACCAACTAAAAGATATAGAAGACAATCTCTAGTTATATATATTAAATAAGAATTATATTTTGAGGGTTTTCAAGGATACTGATATCAAAAATTTGTAGCTGTTGTTGCAAAATTCAAAATAGTGGTGAATTTAAAAGCATTGAGTAAAAGAATAGAACGGCTAAATTCTGCTGTATTACATTGTAAAATATCTACGATAACATTGCTGATAGTTGCTAGTTGTTGATAATTTATACTAAAATTTGAAGCTACTAGTTACTGTATATTTAAAAATATTATGCATGTTTAATTTTTCACTGTTTTAATTATTTGAATATGTTTTAAATCGTATATCAAGTACGTCGTCAAATCTATTGTTTTTATAATAATTTATACTATAATTTCAGTTGTATATAATATAAAAAATTATGATAGAACTATATAATTGATTGATGTTACTGTTAATACTGTTTATACTGGTTGTCGATAACAGTCTGTAATTTGTTTCGAACTTGGCACAATTTTATCATTATTGTCAATGAATCCTGAATACTGAATTTCAGCATATATAGAATGAAATGCTATAAAGGTCAAAACTAAGCAGGATTGCTACTGGGACACAAAGACGTAAACAGGAAGACATGCAAGTTGAAGGATAAAAAGGATCAAAATCAGAGGAAAGCGAAATTGATTTATGCGCTTACCGACGTCTTGAACGAGATGGACAGCGTAGAAGACAATAACGTATGTCCCGCTGAACAATTGAAGCATATTAAATATGTTGATGATGATCAGTGGCTTCAGCACTCTCGGATCACGAATCATGGACACCGCCGAGAAGATGCGCTGCCTTAGCGAGGCGTTCATGTTTTGAGTTTGCTTCTCGACCAGATCGGCCTTTATCCTCATTTCCAGTATTGTCACCTCCGTGTTGGTCTATCAATTAATTAAATCGATTGAAATTAATTGTCGCACGCGAGAATCGATCCACGAGAGTGTTCCTTCACCTGTTCCGCATCTCCGCCTCTTAACCACAGAAGAGCTTTTCTAGCCTTCTCGATTTTCTTCTGTTTAACGAGCCAGACAGGACTCTCGGGCAGCAGACAGAACGCGATGAAGGACAAAACAGGAAGTACGATGCCACAGAAAGCCACGATGTCCCACTGGAAGGAGGCGCCGAGGACATAAACCAACAGAATGCCCCAGCAGTACGCGGCGAACCCGCCGCACGTCAGGAAGGCGCGAAGACCCGTATCCGCAGTTTCTCCTACCAATACCTGACGGATTTATACGAATTTGTAGTGAGATATTTATACGAATTATATAGTGCAATTAACATATAATTTATAACGTACTAAATTTTTTGGGATGAAATTTTACTCAAAACAAGTGAAAACTCAGAGTGATTGTGAAAATACTGCCACTCGAAATCGCGAGGACCAATGTTTCACTCAAGCTTAGAGTGGACTCTGACTTCATATAAGCAAATGCTTCAGTCGATTAGAGTGAATATATTTTTGTAACAATGGAAAATACATCAAACTTACTCTTTTTAATTTTGAATAAAAATATTCACTCGACTATTAAGGAAATACGCAGTGAATGACATAAAAAATGTCGATAACGTAGAAACGATCGTCTCAAAGAAATTTAGAGAGTAAACAAGCGTTATTACTCAGTAAACACCAAGTACACGGAAGAAATATTGTTGTAAAAATTACATCAAAATTATATTTCTTCTTACGATACTTTTGATAAAACTGATCTATATGGAAATTGTACTAAATTACTAAAGAAATAATAAATTTGGCGGTTTACTTTACATATGATATAAAAATTTTTGAATTACAATAATTTTGTAGTAAGATATCAAAAATGCATACTTCTTTGTATTTTTAAAGAAATATATGGTAATTTTGGTTATAATTCCAATATGATATGACCCAAAATTACAAATATTTTGTTATGATTTTCACAACACATACAATATTTTTTCGTGTATAAAATATTATATCATATACGCAGAAAATATTACAGTAAAAGTATTCTAATTATAACAATAACATTACAATAATATTGTAATTTTCTATTTAATAATATAAATGCAATATAATGTGCAATATAATGTTGTACGTAACAGTTACATTATTAAGTTGGAAATCATGATATTAATGTGATTTTATTGTTAATTTGGCGTTTACTAGGCGAAACGATCTTACTGCTACAATCTTTACTAACGAGAGCAAACGATAGAAGTTATGAACGGTAACTCAGGAAATAAAGCTCATACGACAAATTGATCGTAAAGTACAGTATAACGATTCGCTCCTGATAAGTCTTCGACAAAACTAAATCAAGTAAAACATATTACGGTGTTATCATAATAATTTAAGTTATTATTAAAATTATTATAATAAATATCCTCATATAATTGCATGATATCATACAATCACACACAATGAGATATAATTACAACAATGACGTATTAACGACGTTACAATCAGTAAACAGCGATTAGCAATTAACATAGATAAACACAATGACTAACGTGTTAAATATTGACAGGATGGCGAAGCGCATGCATCGGTTTTAAAATGCAATCCCTGCGTATAACGCGTCACTCGTGAAATTGTAATTTGCCGTCGCGAGATTCAATATCGAATATTCAGCTGATACGTCGCGTACCGGAGGCTCGACGAGGAGAAATTCGCTGATCACATTTTTTAAATACTGCACCTGCGCGGGTACCGCTATCACGCCCACAGACACGCCACAGAAGACCCTTCCTACTAAAATAGAAGTCACGCTTTTCGAGAAGCCGATGATTATCCATCCCAGGAGCAGTGGAAGCGTCGACAACATGAGGGTGTTTCGTCGACCGACCACCTCTATAAGCGGGCCCGAGACTAACGCGCCAAAAGGTGTAGCCAGACTGTGAACGGAGGCTGTGTGACAAACAACCCAATGCTTTAATAATCGCGGAAAACAAGCGAGATATAATTAATTAGCTATCAATAAAATAAATAAAAATCAGATAAACGCAGTTCATAAATTTATAAGTATTATAATGAGTAAATAAAGAATTGAGTTAAATACAGTCCACAATTCATAAATAATAAATGATGAGATGAAGGAAGTAGAAATGATGAATAGCAATCGAAACACTCTACATGTGAACACAAATGCGAACTTTCTTCATTCTTTGATTTAATAAATCGGAGAAATATTTTCTTTCTTTTCTTTCGGAAGCGATTTTCTGGTTTTCCTGCGTTGCGAGTAAAAATTGAACGCGGAACTTGATGTACACTTCTCATCGAGGTTTAGGGGCTGGCCAGCTGTGAAAAAACCGCAGGGGAATGAAGTTAAATTTACGCCTGGTGGTAAAACGTCTATCTAATCGTATCAACGAGCGTACATCAAGCGGCGATTGCGCGCCTCTCGTAAAGTTCTTACGGGCTTGTTAAAATGTTATTGCGCGTCGTAGACGGAGCAATTAACGCGGTTTATTTATGGCGTGCGTGCACCGTTATCGCGGCCGTGCGTAGGACGCTTTTGTTGCAAATGTTAAAAGTTGAAAGCCTGAATGGCGCGAACCCAAGCGCGCGTTTTCTCACATATGACATGGCACGACGAAATGCTGCATTGAAAAATGATCAAAATACAATCAGATAAAGAGATTGCGGACGATTTTACGGTAAAGGATAAAAAAACCGAGCCATTATTTCGTTATTGTGTTCCTCGACTTGAGGAAATGAAATTAAGCGTATCGTCGCGTCCGCGAGTAATCGACGCGATCGTCGGAGACACAAGTTCTGTGCCTTCGTTGGAAATGACTGTAGCTTATTGCCGCTGGGGAAAATTTACATTTTATAATTAAATGTACCGCGTGAAATATTTACGAAGACTAAAGCATCGTTGCAACTCGCGCCTCGAGACGATAAAATGTTTCAATATAGCGCGATCGCGTGACCGCGCGAATTCTTACGACAGCGATTCTCGCTGTTGATCGTTATTCGATAAATTAACACTCACAAAAGAGAAAGTTATATATATATATATATATATATATATATATATATATATATATATATATATATAAATTATATTAAATGTAATTAATAAAAATTAAATACAAAATGTACACCCGATGTCAAATTTTGTTTGCGAGATTCTATCATCAAATATATATGAGTTTAATTACGGAATTATAAAGAAAAAATTATAGAAACTTATAAGAAGATAAATTATATAAATTTATATAACTTCTATGATTTGTTTTTTATAATTCCGTATACATAAATTCATATATGTATTTTTTTTATTATTTAATTTTGATTGGACATTATAAAGTCTTTATATAATATTTAATTATAAATAATAAAAATTAAATAATATTTAATTATAAATTGAAATAAGTATAAATAAAATAAAAATTAAATAAACATATGAGACTCCAAACTCCAAACTCTATTCTTTGCACTAAGAGGAAAAATATTTAACAAAATATATTTATTTAGTGAGTATTAATAGCATATTTACTTATACTAATATAATATATGTACTTTTATATTGAGAAAGAATATTTTCCAAATATACTTTTCTCAGAACTTTGCTTTCCTACAAAAGCACAATTGTTTACTTTCTTTGAATAAAAGTTTATAGATCTAAGTAAATATATAATTAGTGCTCGTCGAATAAATATTTCTTATTTGTAAGATATTTTTTTCTCAGTGTATAAAATTATAATAAAAACAGTAAACAAAGCTAATTGGAGAAAAATATTCTGCGCTAAATAGTTAATAAATATTATCTCCAGAAATGTAAGAAAATAATTATTACATAGAAAGATAATTGAGTTAATCTTAAAACCTTCATTGAAATAAGAAATTGAGTTTTCTTGATCCGATCTTCGACGTAAATGCTGATCAGGTCGTTGTCCGGGATCCTTATAAAATCACCCGATTAACGCAAATACCGATTCCCCTCGCTTCGCTTTGATTAGAATTCTTATCGTGGAATACAATCAACACGTATGTCTTGCGCGCTTGTCTTCTCATCATGTTCGTTTATGCATTAAGGAAATTCATTGCAAACAGAAAAATTTTACGGTTGTTTGAATCAGACCAAACAGAGATCAGATAATTTGTATATTCGACTCAACTCGCCATGAATAAACGCTTAAAAGTACAAAATTTCCAAATGCTTTTCGCAAGGTTGACCCTGTACTCCATTATCGTAACTGTCAGGTGAGCCGTGCTAAATATATACGGTGAGAACTGCCATGGTTAGTCCACCATGGTGGTTATTACATCCACACATTCTTTATTAGAGAGAAATATAAGAGAAATTCTATATTAGAGAGAAAACTTATGTGATTTTATACGTTAAATGGACATTTAATTAGAAACTGTGATTGTTACTTGTCCATCCATACAATTCTCACTCTGTCACAGTTCTTATGACACGTAATGTTCAGTTAATAGAGTATGACGATCATATATATAAGTATATGACCGTAAGCTATAATTTCTCTAATAACTGTTAAATAGTACGTTTTAACACCTGAGTACATATATAAACTACTGCAAATATTGATTATCTTTGAGAATGAAACTACAAAATGCACTATTTTAACAATTATTGAAGAAATTACAGTTTATGGCCACCTTTCCGTGTGACCATCATATCTATGTTTATCTTCATGTATAGTAGGGATATGCGATTTATGAAATTGTGTATCGCGATGCGATCTTTTTTAAAAATCACAATAAATGCGATATATCTCATTATAATTTTGTATCACAAATATAACTTTAAATCGCCTGCAATTTTATATCGCAAATACGATTTTGTATCGCGCGCGATTTTTAATTATATGGGAATCTGGGGGAAGCCTAATGTTTAAATAAATGTAAAACATATTAAAAATAAATAAATCAACTCTCTCTCTATCTCTCTCAAAGTATTCTTTGAAATGTCCACTATAAGAAAATACAAATTTTACTGTGAAAGAATAGTTAAAAATGAAAGCAAAATGAAATTAAATGATGTTATCTTAAAAACATCACTTAATTTCATTATGTTTTCGCGAAGCAAAGTGAGAGATATTTTGCAAACTTTGTTTATTTCCGAATCATTAATTTTCAAACGGTTTTAAAAGTAATTTATTAAGTCATGCAATATATAAAGATGTGTTATTGCACGCTTAATTAATTATTATTGACAACATTAATTATTTATTGACAACATTCTTCTCATAAAATAATAAGATTACTCCTTTTATTATCTTTTTTTACTAAAATATTAATGATAATCAATATTAAATTTATGATAATCTTCTGAAACATATAAAAAAAATATATATTAGAAAAAATAGATAAAAAAAAATATATATATATTAGAATCATATATAAAACGAAATAATGCAACTTAAAGCTATAATAATACAATATTTGAAGACTGTTATAATGTCATAATCTTATTATGCCTCTAAATTTAAGTTTGGATTAGATAGTATAAGATATTCAGAGTATATCGCGCGAGATTTTCACATATACTTAACTAAAATAACGAGTGATTTTGAATTGTAAGTTCGATTTCGCGATAAAGGTTCAATTGCGTATTGCATTGCGATTCAAAAGAAGAAAATGGTAGTGTTTACGATATATCATAAAATATCACATCTCTAATATATAGTTACCTCTCAACCAAATATTACTGTCTTTTTGTTGCGGTCTGCAGAACAAATACTATGGTTGAGGAATCCGTAGGGATTGATTACACCATACAACACTGAGAATACGCGATTAAACACGTGCAGACAGACAACAGAGAAGCTCAATGTATCACATGGTTATTACAAACATTTTTTATGTGCGAGAAATAACAATTTGGTTGCGGCAGTCATACTTAAGCAAGCGATAACCGCTTTTTCCGTGTACTACTTTTATAACGGCGAGAGTGCTTAATCGTTGCGTTTACGAAATGTGAAATAGGCCGAATGTCGTTTACGAGGAGATAAACTTTACTCCGTACGATAACGTAAAGTTATCACACTAATATTGTTGATTCACGCAGTTCAAGACGATAAATGTACAATGGGAAAAAGATACTTAAAAATGTATTCGTGATATATTAAGTTTATTTATACGAAAATAAATTTTCAAGTGAGTGCAAAAATGCGTAATAAAATGGATCGGTATCTCGGCAAGCGAAATGTACGTTTAACAGCGAGGTTGAATTCCTTTGAAATTTCCAAATAATTACGAATTTGGCTCTAATTGGCGTTTCGCAAATAACGATTTGAGTGACAATTTCAATCGACGTGCGTCTCCATACGTATATGACATTGCGCGTTATCAATCCAATGTAACGTAGCCTCTCAAACGATATCCTTCGCTCTCGAACTTGGCCATGGCACTCATTGATAAAGATTATTCAATGAGACGATATGTAGGTCAGTTACGGCGTGCGGTTCGCTACGATCGGCGGTCGCTTCATTAGCGCGAGGGTTGCTGCAGCGCAACCTTGAACCTGCATGTTGGTTCTTGAACTCGCAAGGTCAGCGGATCTCCCTCTTTCTCTCTCTCTCTCTCTCTCTCTCTCTCTCTCTCTCTCTCTCTCTCTCTTGTTTCGCTTCGTATTTGCGCGAATAAGAAGAATATATTTCCTAAATTTCTTGGAGTGAAATTTCGCGCGAAAAGTAGACTGAATGCCAAGTCACTCGATTGAGGATTCGATCGATTCTTTATTCATACACTGAGAGAAATTATCCGATAAAAAATTAACAAACAAATATCCGATTAAAATACTCATGAATTTTTATATCCGATTAAGATATCCGGTTAAATTTAATCGAATACTTCCGATTATAATGCCATTTCGTCAGATAAACTGATAAAAAAATTATGAACCGATATTTTCATTGGAGGTTTCCTGATCAAATACAAAAATTTATCGGTATTTTGATCGGTAATATCCGTTTATTAATTTTTTATCGTATAATTTCTCTTAGTGAAAGGACACTCAGGCTCGTATTAATAATAAGATGAAAGTTCCAGTGCCTGAACACGTATCTAATTTTGGATGTTCTTATTGTTTTTTAAATACAAATATTTAAATTTCCAACAAAATATATGTATGTACACATTTTATTAACATGTTTTAAGTTGACAGTTTAGATATTTTCATTTTAGAAGATCAAAACAATGAAGAGAATGAGCAGGATTAGGTGTCCAAGCATTATGGTACTTTTTCCTCAATCGGAACTCTTCTCAAATGAGATTCAAATGATATTTCAAATTTGAGCTTAGAATTAGTTGAGAGTCTTTCAGTTAGATTGCAGTTATAGATATAAGTGTCACATATATTCGACTGAAGAACTTGTATTTGACTGTGAATAAAAATTTGAATATCTCAAATGAAGTTTCAAGTGACGACTATTAATACGGGCCTCACTGTGGCGATTTCGAGTGGTAATTCGAGTTTTTCATTATCACTTCGAGTGGATTTACTACCACTTTTCATTCGTTTTGAGTGAGATGTCACTCTGGGAAATTCGAGTGTGTTGTACCTGTATCGGTAAAACGCTTTTTTACGAGTCCATGAAAAGTACCAAAAAAAACCGCACGACGTCGTCAACAAACAATTACCCGACTGACACATAGTTTGTAAGAATTTGAGAAAAACTTAGCCAAAAATTAAATCGAGAAGATTTTTACTAAATTGGTATCGACTTAAATTAGAAGATAAATATACATAATATTTCAAATAATAATAATCAACCAAATATATCACTGAGAGAAATTATTCAATAAAAAATTAATAAACGGATATTTCCGATCAAAATATTGATAAATCTTTGTATCCAATCAGGAAATCCAATCAAAATCCAATGCGAAATATCGGTTCGTAATTTTTTGATCGATTTATCTGATGAAATGCCATTATGATCGAAAGTATTCGATTAAATTTAATCGGATATCCTGATCGGATATAAAAATTTATCGGTATTTTGATCGGAAATATCCGCTTGTTAAATTTTTATTAGATAATTTCTTTCAATGATCGGTTGCTAAGCAATCACGTTAACACGAAGCTTCAATATTCCTTGCGATGCTTCAGCTGAGGAAACGGCAAATATATTTTGCAACACTTTCCCCTTCTTGTGGAGAGAACTTCTGTTATTTTAACAATATGAGGCTACCATTAGAAAATAGACAGAGGATTTTTTGAGACATGTCTCACGTTTCTAAAATCAATCTTGTGCTTAGCAGGTCGTTAATTAGCGTTAATTAATATGCTCTCACCTATCCAAGAGCCGAGTTCTTGATCCACGCTCACGGTGCTGTTGGGCTCCGACAGTTGCGGCAGTAAGATAGCGCTGTAACCAATCGGCATGCCGCCACCGGTCGCCAATAGCAATACTGCACCTGCTACTAGACACTGCGAACAGTCCAACCATTAATCTTACCGCATTAATTGAGCCGGACGTAACAAACCGCCGCGGCCGTGATAAATCAACGGGACACTAACGAAATGTTTTATCTGACATGGCGTTTTGTTAACGCGAAGTAATCGCGACTGCGACGCGATTCCCTCGATAACTTCGCGTCAATCGCCGGTGAGCGAATCGATCAGGCAAAGTTTCAACGACCGATACAGGGGAGCTACGGGGTTGCCAATGCAGTCGTGAAAGATTGGAACGTCCCGCGCAACAAATATGTTTTTCTGCTGCTCGAATCGTGAAAAAGAATGAGAGGAGGGGAAAGGGGATTGAAAATGATAGATAGACAGATAAATTTAAAAAAAGAGAGAGGAAGAGAGAGAAAGAGAGGCTGCAGTCGCGCACACGAGACCAAGTATCTTGGAACTGGTCCAAGATAGTAGATAGATATATATCGTGTTCATATACGAGGGCGAGGCTTCGACAAATTGAAAACGAGGGTAAGAAACGTGTGGTTGACAACCGGCCAAGATTTACCGGTGTGTTCGCTACTCCTTCTTCTTATTTCCCGCGAAACTTAAGTCGCTATTATATCGCGCCTGTTTCTGCAATGCCGCGGAAACTGACGTAAGTCGCGACCGGAGTGTATTTACGCGGCTGTGCATGAACGCATCCGGAAACGAGACGGGCTTTGAAGCGATGACTTTGCCAATGGATACCGCGTAGGTGGGGACCAAACACACGCTATCTCGTGGAATCTCGTGGAAAACCAGCGAATGATACATTGTAGGGAAAAATGCACGCGTTCGCAAGAGGACTGCTTCGCCGGCGCGCTCGAGTTGTTACAACGAAACGCAATTTACAGTTCGCCGCCGCGAATTGCGGGAAATGGAGGGAGATGCATACAGGGTGTCTGACAATTATTGACGCATCCGTTGTATATACAGGTAAAACTCGTCGAACGGAATTAACTTCCTCTACCATTTCGCAAATAACCATGTAAAATTCTCAGTTATTAATGAAAGAAAATTAATGAATAATTACGTACGACACGGTAGATGATCTGTAATGGCATTCGCCATCTTGAACAAAAAGGTCCTTTCCCAATTTGCAAATGATCACGTGAATTATTAACTAAAGATTAATGCTTGATTGTGCACGACAATGTACAAATCTTCTTTAGTTAGTAACTCAAAGTTTAATGTTTGCGAAATGCTGGAAGAATTCTGTGTTTAGCTTGGTGAATTCTGTCTGCACACAACGGTGTCAATAGTTGTCAGACACCCTGTGTATGTGTATGTTTGTGTGTAGGTATACATGCTCCGCTGCGAAGAAGTTAAATTATATATTTCCAACGAGGAGCGCGGTCTCGTCCGGAACTTCACAAAAAAAAGAGATTTGTTGTCACAACTGGAAATCTCGTTAACCTAGCAAATGTACAGCTGTAATGTAAGGACAGACAGATCGTCATGCTACTGTAATTATTACAGCGCTACACAAGATCTATGATTATATCTAATAAAGTCTGATTTTATAGTACAACAGATTTGTTAGTACAGCAAAAACGACTAACTTCCGCTACAACCAATGAAAAAATATAGCTTGGTATATGCAATTAATCTTTTCGCCGTAGTGTCAAAGAAAATTTGGCACATTAACGGATTTCATTGTAGCTTAGTGACTGATTGCTTCGGCAACAGATGTTAGCTAAAGCAACAATGCTTAATTAAAGTGTTTAGAATATTTATTCTGCGACCACGTTCAAATAGTACAATAAAATGTTATAAACGTAAACGTATACACATAAAAATACGTATGATTTATATCAAGAATCCATTATATCACAAATATACAGGCACTTATTAATGTGCAACAAAAACTTAAGTTGGGTAACGGATAATAACATGCTTCTCGCGTTACAAGCACTTGCATTCGAACATAATAAAAGTGCAGTTCTCCGTATGAAACAAGCAAAAATATTTCTTCATTACCTAGTGAGTGAGTGGATGATTTGCTTGGCAAAATTAATGAAGTTGTTTCGTAAACTTCAATTCGAAATAGCTTAGCTCGAAATATACGAGATGATTTTTTTGCATGAAACAAATAGTTTTGCAACGTGAGCAGATTAAAAATTCCTTCCGCACGCGATTTCTCCGCTGTACTAGCAAATCTGTTTACTTATAACGTTTAATTTTTTCCCAGCAAAGTATTGATCGATCAAGCGATTTTTTTCCGCGTTGGCTAAGTTAAACTTTTCGTATTTTTATTGAAGCGAGATGAAAACGTCTGTGAGAGCATTATACTGGACTCGTTCGCGATATAATATTTACATATAGTTTCATAACAATCCACGTACATGGTACATCCGCTGTACATATTATGATAGATAACTTTGCATGATAACGCGTTACGTTTCCACGAAGGAAACGAGCAACGAGACTATAAACGCGCGCAGAGGAACGATAGGGGAGGCGCGTCCATATGCATCTATTTTTAAATAAAAAGTATACTGGCGCTAATCCAAAATATCTCCTCGCCAGTTTCACGTCGTTGAGCACGGACGTGAGTGCGCGTCCGCGCTACGAATTTCCTTTTGCACGAAAATTCTTGGCGATTTACATGCGGATTATTTTCGGTCAAAAAAAGAACTCGCGACGCACGATACGCTGCCATCGTCGGGACGAGTGCACGTTGAGAGCTGGTCTCGCAAAATAAAAAACAGAAAGAAAGAAAAAAATTCTCGCGACAGCTCGCCGTTTTGCGCGCTTCGTTATTATTTCTAACGGAAGCCCGCGCAACGACACACGTGTGACACGTGGGCGAAATGATCTCTCATAATAAGACCCGTCGCAAATTTTCGCTCGATATGGTCTCTCTCTCTCTCACCTGTGCCAATACTCCCTTCCTATTTGACGAGTAGTGCGCCGCCACTTCGCCGTTCTTTAGCGACGCGTCCCCATTGTTCCTGACGTTGTTGAAACTGTTGTTGTTCTCGATATCCTCGCAAACGCTCTTCAGGCTCGGCGTCTTCTTGTATACGTCGACGCCGTGGCCGAGCATCGCCTGCCCCTCTTCGCTGAAACGCAACAATTATACTATTTGCAAACGTACCTCTCGACACGCTACTTCATCTTTTCGCAGGGGTAGTCTTAATGATTCGTGTACGTACCTCGCTTTGAGCGCCATGTCGCTCCGATTAAAGCACGTTCGAGCACCCGATTACTTTCGAGTGTAGCCGATAATCGATGTCTTCGACGATGTAGGTCTCTCGATCACTACGTCGTTCGCAAACAAGCTCTGGTGACGTGTCGTGACGCGGCACTTCGATTTTTTTCGCTCTGCATTACGTGATCCCCGGTGGTGGGATTCCTGCTTTAGCGAATGTGCCCTCCGAAGGAAATCGCGACGAACGAGACGGGTTCTGAAGAGGCAGGTCGTTATACGCGCACGCAGATCCGAGCTGAATCGCGGTAATTCTCTATCTGCAACGCAAAACACCGACTGCAATTACCGTTAATGACTCAGCGGACTCTCGCACGCGCGCTCAGCGCGTCACGATATCTTAGGGCCGATTTGTCCAACCTCTTGTTATAAATCAACTTATGGTTAAGTTAGTCATATGTTTGTCTGTTCCTTTTTTCATCGAATTTAAGAAAGATAAACATATGATTAATTGGACAAACTGACCTATAATGTTGCAACATAAGCGACGCAAATGTAATGACATAAAGCAAGAAATGAACTGGCGACGTATAAGTCAGTTGTAAAAGTCAACCGGACACTGATATATTTTACTTAAAAAATAAAAAAGGAAAAAGAAGAAAGGAAGGAAGAACTGTACATCTGAGAAATTTCACGTGCAAGTGGAGAATTACGATGAAATATTACGCTTGCAATATCGCCGCTACACGAAAATAAAGAATATAGTGCACGTAATAAAAAACATCTTGTTGCGCTCTAGTTATTTTCGTGTGATGTTAATATGTATGAGGTTGTGATGACTCAGTTACTTAGGTACATCAATTACATCAATATGGTTGCACGTGATCTAACTGTGACAGACAAAAATCGGTTGAGATAATATTAGCGATGAGTACACTACAAATTCAAATATGTTATTGCTAACACATATAACAATGACACATTGTTACTGTCAAACACGCGTAAGCGTGTAATCTGGCTGAAGCTCTTTGTATGCGCGCGCGCGCGTGTTTCTTGCAGTTTTAAATCAAGTTATATATTTAATAGTTTAAGAGACGCGTGTAAATTATAATTTAATATATTTACATAAATATATTAAATAACGTGACTTAAAACAATAAAAAATATGTAAAAAGAAATTCAGCCAAAATAACTTGGATTCACAGTGTACACTTTGGTTGGACTCTGATAAAAAGTTTTGTAACAGTTAACGATTTTGATTTCAAGGCAAAATATTTGATAATTAATATTAATATTTGGTAATAAATATCAATATGGTCATGTTATCAGCCGACTGTAATAATAACAAAATAAGTATTTAGTAAAAATAATTAGTAAAAATGAATTCTTAATTTAATTGAACTAATTAAGCGGTTTAATAAATAATACCAAATAATTCAGTAATAATTGCTATATAGTTTGACTATTAGAAAAAAATATTGAGTCATTTCGTACATTTATCATATAATATTATTATTATTGAAAATTATAGTTTTATTTAACAAATTGTTTACTGATATATATATATATATATATATATATATATATATATATCACATATATATAGTTACCAAGTCTTAGCAATTGGTACGAAGCCTTACTAAGGTTATTTGTTGATACTTACCAAAATATTTTATTATATTCGTTTACATGTTTAGTTGGAACTATTTCATCAACTATTTCAGCACTTGATAATTATTATCAAGATTTGATAATAAAGGTTATTACCAAACCTTTCTTTTCAGTGAAGTAACCAGATATCCTCAATTACTGATAATTGTTTCGTATTTTAATATTGAATCTAGTTGGCATAACTAAATGCGACGTGATGTGTGCCAATTATACTATTTTTATGTATAGTTTAGTCATTAATATTACTTAAGGTAAAATGATTCACGATTGTAAGCAAGTCATATGCACACAGATAAGATGCACAGCGGAAATTTATCTACATGATAATTTTATCATCCGTTTGCATGTGCTCGTTTTGTATTTGCCTTTTACTACGACAGAAAAAATTATTTTTTATATTAGAAAACAATAATTAAATTCGGCAATTATATTTAGTCGGCATTACATACATTTTTTTAAATTTTTGTCAAGTATTCGTACTGTTGAGAAAGCAAAACACTCACGGTTCAGAAAACAAAACATTTCAGGTATTGCAATTATCAAATATCTGATTGAGCCCATTTTAACCAGAAATTATGGCTCTATGTACTAAACTTTCATTTCAACAACAAAATTCTTTTTTCAACTCGCGAGGAATTCGCTGCACGAGAAAATAAACATATAATTTCGATTTCGCGTCTTCGTCTTCATGTTCTTATATTTTCTTCATGAATATTTACAAGCCTACGTGTAGTTTTACCTTAACCTTGCTTATTTTTTATTTCGTAGGTGCCCGACAAAACGTGCAGAGAGAGAAAGAGAGAGGGAGAGAGAGAGAGAGAGAGAGAGAGAGAGAGAGAGAGAGAGAGAAGACATCAAACTGCTAAGTATCTCTCTCGTATTTCCAAGTCTCCATAACTATAATATGTCTGTTAATAAACAGATTTGGGATTACTATGACAAAATGCTTGGTCTAAATTTTTTTATTGTTTGACAATTACTTGATAACTTCTTCTTTCTTTTTTTTTCGCTTTTGTCTTTGCTATAATATTGCTTCTTTTTTGTGATTTATGTAATATTAAAATGATTATTACCCCATTAATGAAGAATAACAACGCGCTCACGCCACAAAAACGACAAGTCCGCCAAGTCGTCCTTCGCGATGCTTGCATAAGTTATTAGAACTGACGTCTTCGATTCCACTTGTCACTCCAGTTACTATCGACAATTTAATCTCCTGATACTCGAACGCGGTCAACGCCAATCGATTGCAATTCGAATAAACGCTTCTTAAAATTCCGTCGCATCAGTCGCGATAAGAATTGACTCGCGTAAACATGTCTCTCTTGAAGCCTACGACTTGCTGAAACTTCAGACATTTGCTTAATCTGTTCTATCTTATATTCCAAGAGATGAAAGGCGAACTTTTGCAGCCAAAAATCTTATTCACTCGCGGGCGGCCGGATCATCAATTTCGCGCGAATTCTGCACCGATAAGCGTCTGCCGGCAAAGACGTGCGACGCGTGACATGACTAGAAAATCGAGCGTAATAATCGCGGTACGAAAGTTCCTCAAGAAAGTGGCGTAGAGACACTCACTATACGACTCGGTCCGGTTCAACTATCTTCGTGACGTTTCGGCTTCTTAAACGAGAACGAGAGTCACGTGAGCTCGGGCCTTCAAGCCGCGCCAGTCGACTCATTCATTTCACCGGAGAACGTTGCACTCGCGTCCGCGACTCGCAACTCGAGAGCGAATGGCACTCTCTCGTGGGAACATAGTCGACCCGACACTGTACAGCATCGTCTCTATGAGTCCAAGGTGCAAGCGAGTGTACGAGCAACGCAGTGGTCCTCCACGAGAACCCAAGCGCCGTTCGCCGCCTCGCCGATGCAACGAGCGAACTTGGAATGAACGTGACACAAACGTGGGATAGGCAGTGATTATTTCCTCACGTCATGATGACTAAGCCGGAATAATCGCAACAACACGACCGATTAGGTCTGCCAATGTCAGTCTATATCGATCAGTTTCTCAAAGGCGGAACGTGCCGTATAGGAGCTTTCTTTAACTCTTGGCGAGTGCTCGCTTCCAACAGCCTTCGCTGCCGCCGGTAATATAGCCTGCTGAATAATTGAATAAGTTAGAGGCCCCGGCCACCTTCAGCACCTTACCCGCCTGTTTACTACTTAACGATTAGTACAGTTTGTCTGCGTGAACATTGACCGCGATTCTCACCGAGGTGGAAAGTCGCGATTGCCCGGCCAGCGCCGAGTGTCTCAGTGAAAAGAATCGAATTTACATACCGGCCGAGTCTACGCAAAAGAGTGCTGCAAACTACTGTCTGCCAAGAAGCAGCCTCTGCAGTATTTATCCGAATTAACCCCACACGAATTAGACGCCGGTTTTTCGCGTGCGTGAACGCGCGCCAACTCCCACTGCAATCAAATTTGACTTAAACTCGAACCTGTAAGCTTGATAAGCTGTAATAACACCGTGATCCCTTTGAATATGGAAGCAGGATCAAGCGGTCCTCATCGGCGATGCGCCACTTTCTCTCCTTTGATTTTGTCCCAGACACTTTTACGTAGATCAAGTCCGCCTGCCGAATGCTGTCTTCGCTGCGACCGTGGAAACCAGATCTACATACTGATGGCCTGTTTTACGGGACATCACCGTGGTCGTTGCGCGAGCAGCTCGCAGGCGAGTCTTCGGTGAAGTCTGGAGATGGAAATTGTCGTCCTATTTTTATTCCTCTCTTCTCAGCTGACTTTTTCTCTCTTTTCTGCCTGACGTAACGTCTGGCGGTCTCACGAAGGTTGCCGATTCGCGCAAACAAGAACGTCCCCTCTCTTTCTCTATTTCCCTCCTGAGCAATAATCGTGAAAACGACGCGTTACGCGACGCGATATGCTTCAGATGTAACAATTTATTATCAGGGAGACACCAGCTGTTGGCTTCCTCTCGGTGTTCTCGATACAACTCTTGCTTGTCGGATTGACCAAGTGAAACATTAAACGCACCAGCCGAGTCTAGTCGAGTCGAATTAAGTGAACACGCGCGAATGAGTCCTGCGTCAGATGGGTCAGCCAACACGCGCTGGTAAACAGAGTGTGATCTAGCTCGGCCTGAGTCACGGCGACTGCACTGAACGAAACGTCTGTCGAGGCTGGCTCTTATAGGCTCGCGCACTTTGATTAGGCCCCTTTTTCGACGATCATTGTACACGACACTAGCACCGGTCCGCTAATGGCGGGCCTTGACTAGTTGACCTCGGCGAAAAGTTCGAGGACCCATCTTCTCAGGTAAGATTTAACGGGAAATTAATGAGTATATCGATGAGTTGTGTATAATCAACTTACACGATATTTACCAGTTTAGCTTGCCTCTCGTCACAATTTTATCACTTTTATATCCTAATGCAGAGAAGTTTACATTGTATGCTTGTATGTGTATTCATTTCAAGAAATCGAGCAAATGTGTTTCCACTAAATGAATTATCATTGCTCTATCATTATAGATACTTTATCGCTATGGAGATAAGCGCAAGCTGCGTATTTGGCCAATGTTGCTGTCAGCAAAAAGCTGAATTTAATACATTTTAAAAGAACAATTCATACGCGCAAAAGAAAAGAGTTTGGTTAAATTAATGTGACAGTGAAGAGATCAAACGCGTTTTGGTTGAAGGAGATAGAATTTCTGATTCTTTACTCAAAATAAATAATTTTATTCTTTGAGAAATTCTCTTATATATATATATATATATATATATATATATATATATATAATTTTCTATGTATATATCCTCAAGAGGAGTTTTTTTAAATTAAAAGAAAGATATTCCAATACCCAATAAAAGAACTCACGTTGCAAGGTGTCATTTCTTGTAATCCCATATTCTAAGCGAAAACTCTTATTGTTGAGGGAATTTTCCTTCTTCTAATGAAATAAACTGTTATTTAGAAATCTACACGCGAAAACAATTTTATGTAGTAAAAATTGCTGTAGGATTTTGTAACCGAGGAATAGATCCATATTATGCAGTTATTCATTATCCTTTCATTTCATATGTGTTGCTTGTATTCTAAGAACTGAAATGTAGTATTAAAACTTGCTATATTTCTAGCGAAATTTACCTAGCGAAATATTCCTTAACAATATAAACCTCACTAACAATCTATTTCTGGACTACTAAAAACAATATAATAAGTTTGAAAAGAATTTATATATAAAGAAAAAATATAATAATTCTCTCCATATATTGAATATAATTCAAACTTTTATCTTTTTGAGTCAGGAGTGTTAATGTTCACTTAAGAATGTTTTCTTACTAGAAGCAATTTCTATTAAAAACAAGATTTGTACTGTAGATGAAAAACGAAATTTTTCTAACTTTAAAAATATTGTGCTTAGAATATTTTTCTCTTGGTTTTATATAGAAAAATATATGTTTTGGTCATATATAAAAGGATTCTGTGAAAGATAAAATTATATTTGTTTTCGAAATGATAAATTCGATTTTTTTAATTCTGTTTCTTTCAACCAAAACATGTTTTATTAGACGTTTTTTTATTATTCGTTGTAAAGCTATCATCTAAAGTATGTCCGATCGAGTTATTACCAAAAATGCGATTCTGTACGCCTTGTGAGTGTGTGTGTTGTGTGTTCGTCGAAATTTTATCATTTCCAAACAACATAAATTAAATTGATTAATGTTAGGCGCATTGCGATATACTTGGAAATAAGTATAATAAATAAATCTCTCCGATGTGAAATCAAAAATTAAAATATTGTAAGAGCCATGTTAGGTATTAGTTCACGATACTGTCACAACACTTGTCACAAATATGACTTCCAAGAACCAACGTTTCCGTTCTTGATTTGGCTCTCTTCAATATAAAAATTACTTAAACAATTTCTTTAACAATTAAATACTTTAACAATTAAATACAAATTACTTTAATAATTAAATAAAATCTTAAAAATAAAAATAACACATGTGTTGAGCCTAATAATCTGTGCAAGTTTAAAAAATCTAAAACAATCTTATACCACGAGTTTCTTTCCTTAAAATCAGCGTTACGGATATGTCACGCAATGATATATGAGATTTTAGTAAACTGTTGATGTTGAACTAAAGCGATTTTTGGTGCCATATTAAACGATTATTTAGTCATTTATAGTCATATCTTACCATAATAATTCGAGACAAGTGTGATAGTCGAGTGTAAAATAATTTTATATTTTACATCGTACTGCCGAGTTCAACACACATGCGCTGTTCCTATTTTTAAAATCTCATCTCAACGAATTAAAATTATTCATGCGTTTTTTATACTAAAGAGAATCCAGTTCAAGTATAAAACGTAGAATTTTTATATTGATATGAAATAAATAAATAAATATACCCTGATATAATATGTATTAATATAATATTGCACAGGTCAATTATTGCATATTATTATATATTTATATATTTATATATTTATATGTATTATATATTTATATATTTATATTTATATATTTATTTATTTATTTGCACATTTATACAATTATATATTTAGTTGTATCATTGTATATGTTACGTTAATTCAACTATACTTTATCCATTTATGAAAATTGCAGGATGATGGAATATTCGTTGTGCGTTTCTAGGCAGTGATGGAGAGTCGTAACCGACGAGCGCCTAGCATTGCTTGTTCTTTACAATGAGATTCGTCACGTAATGTGTGTATATGCACAAATAAATCTACGTAATAATAAATATATTTGTTAATAAATATAAATCAACTGCAAATTGGGCCAAATTCGATTCCAAGGATCAGCAATTCTGTTTTCTTCAACTAAAAGGCGTTTCATTGTCGCCTAAAGCTCGCTTTATTGTCACGTTAATTCAATAAAACTTTTTTCTATAGAATTGTTGGAGCAAACAATTTGTAATAATTCATCTGTTGAGCCCTAAAGTCTAAAATTCTTTGATTTTGACGATTTAGTTAGATTTCAGATATTTATGTTTGTATAAAAAGTAGTCCTGCTAAATTGTTGAGGCTGAGCTGTTCTTTTTGTGTGAATTTATTCCCAATATCCCGACAATATTCCAGTTCGCTTTATCAGAGACAGGAATAATCTAGTGCCAGGTTTTTTTAAACATTATTAAATACTACGTGTCTCATCAGACGATATCAACGTTACGTCATGCTGATTAATAACATTCAGTTGTTCTGGATTATTCTTCACACGGCGCGATGACATAAACTTTACGCGTGTTGATTTCTGTTTTGCCTGGACGAATAATCTTGACATTCAATGTATAATTTTATGTTAATGAGGGAAAGTCATCTTTCAAATTTATACAATCGACAAGTCGCGCTAAAATGTAATGTCGGTGCTTTTCTAGGTGTCGCGCAACGTTCGCGGCGATTTGTCAAATTTGCCTTCTTACATAAGTAAAAAATATTATCCTATCTATAGATTTTTTATGACATTTTTTATACAGCGTTTCTGCATGTCGTGAGCACTGGCAAATAACACATAGGAATAAATACCGTGCTACCGCGATAATACAATGTAAAGAGTGACGCTACTTTCGAAATTTAGGATGCGCGATGACTCGGCGACGCGTGGCAAAGCCGCGACATTAATAAATTACGGACGGGGAGGGGAGAGGGGACGGGAACCGCGCAACGATGGTAAAACCATGCTATTGTCCCGCGGAGACATAACGGAGACTAATGAGAGCGTTCTTCTGCGCGCTCCTCGTAATCAGCGCTCGACGCTCGACTTCGACGGGATATCCTGCGATACCGAACGAACGACCGTTGTCCGAATTAATTGACGTCACGAAGGCATCAACGACACAGCCTGTCTTTTCCTCC